AAGTGCTTGCTCATAGGGGGTCATATGATTGTTGGGTTTTTCTCTGTATTTATTATTGTGCGATCTACTGTACAATATAAAGCGCCTTGAGGCGACTTTTGTTGTGATTTGGCGCTATATAAATAAAATTGAATTGAATTGAACATGACAGGATTACTATCTTCATGCTATAATTGTCTTCCCTCTAAGTGAAGTGATCCCAAGCTTTTCCAGAGAAGACTCATCAGCATCCATATCCTTGCTTGTACATCCCCTTCCCCCATTCCACAACACAAGCACCGGACCGGCATGCAAATTAAATTACAGAAGATACAGTGCTCCATAGAGAGTACTGACAGTGCACTCGATTCCTCCAAATTCCTGTGCTAGCACGTATGCCTGTGTCAAAGACAGAATAAGTCTTCACGTAACTGCTAGAAATACAAGCAGCACATCTACAGTGCTATTAAAGAAAGAGAGGGAATATTACAAAAAAAAATCTTTGGGGATTATTCTGTGGAATTGATATCCCTTCTACCCCCTCCTTCCCACTGCTGAAAAAGACTTTCCTCTTGCCAAGTGGCAGCGTATATCAAGGCCTTCATTTCAAAATCATAGCAAATGAGCTATGTTTCTCTGTTCTGTTGCCATTGGTAACACATCTTTTTCTTCCCATGTCTAATCTTGGCTTCTCTTTGAGATATCTTCTGTTTGAAAAGACTGCCTGATACTGCAGCACTGGCACGGTTTCACCGCCTTGTCAGCTATTAGGCTTTGCTTGGTGGCCGGGAACTCTTACTGCCTACTTTTGCATGTGTTGATGGATTATTACTGTATATCCACTGTGCACTGCTGACAGTTAATCTATGTTTAATACTGCTTTGTTGTCTTAAAGCTTGAGATATAAATATAATATTTTAACAATGTGAATTGCATAAATATACAGGCACAGGAAGGCGTGGGTTTGCACTTGCATAGCTAAATTGGAGTAAGAAGATATTGTTTCCAGTTGTGTGGGTTAAAACACTTGACACACTCATTCATCATGGCCCTCACTCCAGTTTTACTATTTTTACACTGATAGATATATAGATGAAAGAAAAGTATTTTCATTATGAATAATAACCCAGTTACCAAAGTAATAGATGAAAGTCACTTAACTTACCTTTCTTCCCCATTCTGATGATCAGCAAGTCATCTTGACTAAGTCTAGATGCCTAAATGCACCAAGTTGAATGAGGAGTTGAAACGATGTACTTAAAAAGTGGCCAGTAAGAGTATATGTTTGATGACAAGAAATCAGAGTGAACCAAGAAGCTGAATTCTTGTCATCATGTAATTAAACCTGATTCTCGTCTGCAGGTGAATATACAGTGATGACGGCTGAATTCCATCTGAAGAGGAAGATTGGCTACTTTGTTATCCAGACTTACCTCCCATGCATCATGACAGTCATCCTTTCCCAAGTGTCTTTCTGGCTGAATAGAGAATCAGTGCCAGCTAGGACTGTGTTTGGTAAGCATATATGACATACATGATGATTGTTAGCACCAGTGTAATTTGAGCTGACTGTTGTAGATGCTGGATTTTATGTGTGTGCTGCAATGGCAGTAAGACCTTCCCCTAGTTTTGTCAAAAATTAACACTGTAAGCTCGAAGGATGAATATAGGGAGTTGTTGGAAGTTGATGGGAAATTCTGTGCAAAAGAAAATGGGATAAAGAGAAGGGGGTGGGGGCAGTTCTTACAGGCCCCACTGCTTTTAAATCCAGTTGGCTACGCTACTGCTTGACCTGACTGTAAGCCAAGTGAAAGTAATATTAGTGACTCATCACTGGTTAGCTCACAGAAAGAAATAAAAACACCAAATCTCCTGAGCTCCAGAAGAAATATTAAAAGTTATACGAAATAAGAAAAAATAAAATGATTTTCTTTTCATATGCCTCACTCTGTTCCCCTGCTTCATTAAAGTATTGTGTAGCAGAATCTGTATTACAGTAGAAAAAACCTTAATAAACATTGCCAGAGCTCATATTATTGGCTATCTGCTTGTGTGTGTTTCCAGGTGTAACTACTGTTCTCACAATGACAACTTTGAGTATCAGCGCAAGGAACTCCCTGCCTAAGGTCGCCTACGCCACTGCCATGGACTGGTTCATCGCCGTGTGCTACGCCTTCGTCTTCTCCGCTTTGATTGAATTTGCTACTGTCAATTACTTCACAAAGCGCGGCTGGGCTTGGGATGGAAAAAGCGTGGTGACTGACAAGGTAATGAAGAAGAAAGCGCATCCTCTGACAGGCTCCGCCTTCAAAGAGAATTCATTAGCATTGTACTGTATGCTGAAGGAGGCAGTGCTCAGAGAGCTCAGAGAGCTTTGAAGGCATTTGTTGGAAGCAAAGGGAAACAGCAGTAATGGCCTCTTTAACCTTCCAAGAGTGGAGCCAGAATGCTGCAGCTACTGAGAACTAATAATAAAATCACTCACTCTGAGGCTCAGCATATCGATAAAGAACATAAGTGCAATCAGGTGTTCATCCCCCCTGGTGCTAATAGGTGCCAAACTCAGCCTAGGAAAGGTGAATCCCATCAATGGTCAGATAATGTGTAATTCTTTTGACACGCTTTAATCACAGAGAGCCCTTTCACGTACACTTTGGTCCAACATGAAGCCCCCAGTCATTCCACAAAATCCTTTTTTTACCCTTTATAGCATTTAGTCGAGCAAAACCATACATTCAAATTACAATCCCTATATCAACAGGGGGCAGAAAAGTTTTAAGAACATAAAGTGATAAGGGATTTAAATTTGTAAATGTTGGGATGTGACAAATGTGGCTTACCTCCACAGAAATAATAGGAATAGGCAAAAATAGCTGGTTAGTATTCTGAGCAGTGTGTCTGATTCTTTAAAATTCAGTCTGTCGAGTACAGGCTCTATTAGTCATGAGAAGATGGGTCTGTGTGTTTTCTTTTTCTTTCGGCTGCTTCCTTCAGGGTTCAGCGGATCATCTGCTTCCATCTCACTCTATCCCTCACATCCTCTGTCCATCCACTGTCACACCAACCCTCTGCTTGCTCTCCATGAACTTCTTCCTTGTGGCCTGAGCTGTTGTGCTCATTTCTCATCGTGTCCATGCTGGTCACTCCCAGGATCTTCAATATCTTCAACTCTGTCACCTGCATTTTGGCCCCCATCTTTTTGTCAGTGCCACTGTCTTCAAACCATACATTAGGGCAGTCCTCACTGCAATTCCCCAGAGGTTGAATGTGCAACACCTTCGACCTTTGGGCAACCATTTTTGATTGTGTGGGTCATCTGGTGAGAGGCAATGTGTCTCCAGCCAATCACCATCTGATTCAGACTGACTGCAGTCACTCTCAGACAGATTGGTGCAGGTTTGTAAGTAATTGCTGTCTAATTTATAATTGCAGACAGATTGACAAAATGTTGCAATCAATCTGAGTTGGTCTGCACCAATTAGCAAAACTCATCTGCAATGCCTTTCTTTGTATCTGTTACCATCTACATATATAGAAAGTCACAATAAACTGAAATTCACATCAGCTACTTGCTTTTAGAGTCCAAGAGTCCAAGTAACTAATGAATGTAAGTAGTTAATGTTAATTTTTTATCACAGATTGCATGTAACTGTCAACTTGAACCCCGAAAATCGCAAACTAATAGCAGACTGACTCCATCTTATTGCTGTCTTGATGTGCCAAAGTGTCTTTTAAGATGGGAACTGAGTGTGAGTGGTTGCGGGCCTGGTCCCCATCTTTGAAATAGCTATTTCAAAGCTAAGAGGATCACAAAATCATAGCACACGGCCACAGTAATTTTGCTTGTGCCGCTGACTCCAACCATTGTTTTCCCTAGGGCAGGGGTCGGCAATCTTCAACATCTAAAGAGCCATTTTAGCCCCTCCTACCAAACAGGAGAAAAAGAGCCACACACACGTGGACGGACAGACAGATACCAGATGTAATATTAGGGGTTTTTTTTTCATAAAGTTTCATTTATTTTTTGCAGCAGCCACAGTGAGGTGCCGACCCCTGCCTAGGGTGACAGTGACATAAAGTACCATTAATCCACTCGTCTCATTTAACTACATAGTGACTTGCCTTTCAGCAGAGCGCTTAACCCTCAAACTACCACAGAAAAGTCTTGATCTGTCTAAAACTACAAACTCTGATAAACATGTTGTAGAACATTACATTATATCAGGGGTAGAAGGAAAATCAAGAAATAAAATTTAGGTATAAACATAAATTTTAAAAGAAATGCCTGGATAAACATCCAGACATTTTTTTTTTTTTTAGGAAATGAAAGCAAATCTTGCATAAAATCAGTTCAACGTAATGAGAAAACAAAAACAGAGAGGACGTGTTCTGGTCAGTGAGAAAGCACAAAATCTCAACAGAAATGATACCTTCGTGCAAACAACGAGAAAGATAAAAAGCACTTGACTGTCTTAGCTAAACAATTAATTACCACAGGAGTGGTAATTAAAGTTGCTGGCTCATATAAGTGCAGGCTCATCTTATATAGCATGACGGGTAGCATAAAAAGACAACAAAAGGAATTTTTTCTGGAGCTGCTCAATGAAGCAATGAACCATCATTTCCTTTAACCTGAAAGGGAGAATGCAGATTATCAGAGGGCTAGGTTTGAAGAAAAGTCTTTAAAATGCAGTGAAAGAAATCTTTCATCATTCATTTGAAATTGCAACTGTAATGTAATTTTCCTGTCTCCTCATAAAGTTTTAATTTTCACCACGAGGTAAGATGGGTGATGGAAGACAGTATTTAGACCTCCTGTTCATGGATAAGTCTGCCACAAACTGCACATCCCTGGATAAAATAAAAGTGGTCTTCATTCTGACTTTGCAAAATGTGCTCGATCCATTACCGGGGTCTTTCCGCTCTCTTCATGTAAATGCATTTTGAAGTTCAGGGGCAGATGGTGACAAGTAAAGCTGCCTTTCCAGGTAATCCTTTTGGTCTCTCAACAGAAGAAAGAGAGAGCCTCCATCGTCAAGAAGAATAACGCCTACGCTGTAGCAGTAGCCAACTACGCGCCTAACGTGACCAAGGATTCCAGTACTCTTCCCACCATCGCCAAAGGCGGAGCGACGGACCCAAACAAGCCCAAAGCGGATGGCAAGGCCCAAGAAAGCAAGAAGACCTTCAACAGTGTCAGCAAAATTGACAGGTTGTCACGGATTTTGTTTCCTGTTCTCTTCGGCATCTTCAACCTCGTCTATTGGGCAACCTACTTAAACAAAGAACCCGTTATACCAAATATGGTCCCCTCTGTTTAAGAGACCAGTTTTGATAGCTTCTTGTCTGGGGTCTAAGTAATGAATCAAATACCTCCAGCAACTATGTACACAAACCTTTGCAGAGTGAAGCCCTGGACTGCAGTGTGACCCTCTATCTTCGCCTGTTTTCTACACTGTCTGCAGCACTTTTAAGAGCCCGGCTTTTTGTAAATGTGTATGTATATTTATATTTATGGTTTCATGGTGACATATATTGTACGATGACTCTAATTAGAGTGCATATTTCTTTCAAAGTATGTTTCCAGTTTCAGTACGTGGCTGCTGTACATACAGATCCAATGAAGAGTAAACACATAATCACTAAGAATCACGTTTGATTTCGGATCACTTCTCAGTGTGTTGAATTCTGCTGTAATGCCCACTTTCTTGATATAACAGTATATATTTTTGTCTCGAGTGAAAGGGACTGACTATCGTTTGATTTCTTTCTTCATATAAGAGTCTTTCAACTCTTTTTCTTTATTTCCAAGCCAGTGCAAAAACACACTTGTATAGTACTGTTACAGTTTAAAGCTTGTTTTATTATCTTTGACTACAGGTATGGGGCTTCAATAAAAAAAGAAAGAAAGAAAAAATCTCCAAAATTATCGAAACACTCCCAGATCCTGAAAGGCTGTGAAAAGAAAAAGATATGAAATGAGAATGTGTGGTTCTGCCAGCTCGATGTACCATTTGGGATTACAGGACAATATCGCCAAAGAAACAAACGATACACTATAAAAAAAAGGTTGTGCATGTGTAATATTTGTGCAAAAAATGGGAAAACTTCAGAACTAGCTATACCCCAGAAAAAATAATTTATGTACAACAACAGCAGATAAACGGATTAGTTTTAGATCTCCAAAGGGGAACAGAAGAATTCAAGATTACCCATAAAAATTATTTTCTCTGGCCATCAGGGTGCGCAGATGACCCCACAAAAAATAAAACAGAGCGGACAGAAGTGTTGCTTTAAGTGGTATTTATGCTTCTGTGTTAAATATACGCTGTTGTTATGTTGTAACAGCAAACTCTTTATGAACTTGCGCCTGATGTGGACCTACCTAGAACTGCTATTACGTTAAAGCAGCCTGCATTAAGCCTGCAGCCTGCTCCTTGTGTTAATGCAGCCTGCTACAACTATTCTTGGCCTTCTTTTCGACTCTAATCGGCTCAAGAACGTCCAACTGGTGTTCTGGCAGCAAAACTGCAGAGTAACGCAGGCACCTTGCCACAAGTGCAAATGCTGGCAATGACAAACATGTGAATTGTACTTCTGCGTCAGATCCGCAAGGAACATTGGAGAAATCCAGAGTTTCCACAAAAGTTTTGCAAGATCCTGAGAAACACTTTTCCCTGCATTTATCATACTTCCATTAGTACCCGTGAAGCTGTCCAGAACACTGCAGGTGGTTGCTAATGAATGTAACCCAGGCCACCAGGTCAGGGTACGCCTTGCCACGAGTGTTTTCCCTTACAGTAAGAGCTCTCTTCAGATGTCTCTCTCTTAAATAAAGCTCTGATTTAATGACATCACAGTTTAGCCCAAACTCAAAATAAAACTCTATAAATCTCTCCCGTGGGCGTGTGTCTTCCGTCGCTATGGTTCTTTTCAAGAACTCCATACTGGCCTGGAAGTGCATGGATGTAAATCAAAAACTTCTTCTGGATTTCGCAAAGCTTTTGTGGGATGTCGCAAAAGTACATCTTCATTTGCACCTGCCCCCCCCCCCCCCCCTCCCCCCAATGTCCCTTGTGAGGCTCCGTAACATTGTAAGTTACGCCATATTTGGAACCCCGTTTTAACCCTACACGGCAACCCATGTACGTAACTACACATCAGGTTGGTGCATGACGCAATGACTTGACTGGCATGGAAGGTATATGGAATAGGGATAAAAGGAGTTTCCGGTTACTACGGAAGTTAGGACGTCGATTTCCCGCGGAAGTCTAAATCATGCTTTAGTTGTAGGCTCTGCAGAGATTCAACACAGAAGTATAAATCTATAATGCTAGCAAACACTTTGCGTATTTACACACCAGCAGAAACTAAACAACATGAACATTCATTTTTTAAAATGTAAGTTGGATGTTTACTCACCTTTTTGTTCTATTTTAGTCTCTTCTGAGTCCTTCCATTAAATATATATATATGAGATGTCAGTTATAGGCAGGAGACTGTTTCACAGAAACACCAACCAGCTAATACCAGAGTATTTATTCACGCCTTTATTACTTTACTTTTAGTTTAGTACATCTATTTATAATCAGGGGTAAAATCTGAATAATTTCATGGGTTTATTGCTCTTGTATAATACAAATGTTCATGTAACTCAGTCTTTAAAGTTAGGGAAGTATCTTGGTGGTGGTTAAAATCCTGCAAAAATGTCCTTTGATCTGTGAACAGTAAGAGGATGCTGGACTCCAAGAATGAGAAAAATGTATTGTTAAAGCTGTTTTGCTCATGATTACTGTATATTGTGTGAGAAAAGTCATGTTCAGCCCCATATCAGCAGTCATACATGATACTCTAAGGTGTAAGTTTTTTCATGACGTGATATACTTTTTCTTCACATGGGTATTTTAACTTAATTTCTCTTGATTTGTTTGTTGAAACAAACTTTGCATGGAGACAAAATCTATGATTTTTATGATTTATTTTCATTATGTCCTTGGCTATAATTCATATTTCTCCAACATCCTGACAGAGTCTTAAACATTCCAGATAAAGGGATTGTTCACCAGGCGGATGCTTGATTCAGTGCACTTTTTAATAAAACATTATTTCAGTTCTTTATATCTGGTTTTTGTCCTGACTTTGGAGACAAGAACATAAATGAAGAGAATGAACTGCGTAGCTGCTTATTTTTCTTTTTAACTGTAAAGAGCTTAGTGAAGAAAGACACTGAAGATGGCTACTTTTGTTAGTCCTTTAAGTTCCAACCTTTAAGTCTACTGATGTACAAATGTTCAATTTATTTTTGTGTTGTTATATAAGTTCTGGGTACTTTTAATCACTGTGTTGGTGAGTTTTAAACTTGCTATTTAAAGAGCTAAAATTAACAGTGGATTGTAAAATGCCTTCACAAGTTTTGAACCACCATATATAGTTAATTCCTGAGCCTGCACAGTCATGTTAAAGTTTTCACAGGACTCTATTCAGTACTGCAAAAAGCTAAGTATACTGCTTCTATAGGATTTAAGATGGTAAGTAGCAGCCAGGTGCTGCTAATTGAATGCACAATGAACAATCTTCTTTGGAAAAACAAAAGTGGAGATGCTTGGCTGTAATGCACAGCACCACAATTAGCAAAAATGCTGCTGTATATTGAGTTGACTATGAGGCCATCTGGCTCACAGCAGGGGCTTTGCCCAAATAAGGTCATACAACATGCAAATGATCCCAAGCAACATCATCTGAGTGAAACCCAGTGATGGGACCTTTAGAGAAACTCAATGAACTAAAGCAGCATTGAGAAAAAGAATGGGCCAAAATTCTGCATAGAAAGCGCTACTTTTTAAAGACTATTTTTACATTGTGGCCATTAAAGTTGTGATCTTTCGGGATCAGTAATGATGTTTATCCAGTCTTTAAGTGATGACGTAAGAGCCCTGCTTCCGGGTCCAAACTACTCTGCGTTTAATATGGCTGTTGTGTTTTTAACATGTTTTAATGTTTTGTATCTTTTTCTATTTAATCTCAACAAGCCCCTAAAAACAGTCAGTGATCACTGTCAGCCTCTGTTGGTTTTTATTGCTGCTGTTCATTTTAAAGCTCAGTTTTTAAAACCTTACAATGTAACTACAGCCCAGCCCATGCAGCAGTATATTAATGACTAACCTCGTATTGTGGATGGATTATCTCAGTTGTTCTCCTGACTGAAGTTTGGTCCGTTTACAGCATGGTTGTCCCTAACCACTGGGAACCCTTAAGTTAGCGTTCATCCTCCAGCTTCAATGTTTATATTATGTTAACCATAGCCGCATAGCTAGCCACAAAGTAGCACATCATTATATACCAGCTAGCCCAACTAAAGTAAAACTTCAAACGTGACTACTGTTTAGTTTTCTGTCTTCATTTATGTCTGAAGTGATAGCAGAACTGTACATTTTAATCTTTTCAGAAATCTCTCAGTCAGAACATGCTATATTATGTTTAGTTGGAAACTAGCGAGCTAACTTCCTGCTAACTTCTAACTCTGTTAAATTTAATAAACTCTGTTTTCATGGATTCCCAGATTTTAAATTTAACTGTTACGCCAGGCAGAGCAGCCACACTGATCATTTTATTAAAGATGAAAGAATTTAGACAGTTTGTAACTGTGTGTTGCGCCAGTGTTCGTTTGACTTTGGGACCTGAAGCAGAGTTTGGACCCAGAAACAGCTAATGACGTCAGACTTAAAGACTGGATTGGGAGATGAGGGTGGAGTTATTAGCTAACATTAACTGGCTTGGTTAGCATGGTGCATCCAAAGAATGTATGGGTGGATCACACAGACACAAAAACCTGCTATTGGTGGTATATCACCCAAAAAAACTCAACCCACTAGAATTTCCCTCATCAAAACTGGAAGACAGACCTCTTGATGTTCTATTAGTACAATGAGCCGTACAACAATCAAACAAATTATGTCAGATAATTGCATTAAAGTGCTCTAAATGGCAGACACCACAAATATGGTTCAAAGATCCAGTTCACTGAATCAGTTCAGAGTGAATTTGCTGAGGTTACGCCTAAGAGACAGCTGCCTGTAACCCACCTGGCAGCCAGAGCATTCCTGCGCATTATAATCCACTTCAATGCTTAATATAATTTAAACAAGTGAAGGGAAGCAGGAAATTAAATTATAGACCAGAGACTAAAACTCACCAGGTTTTCTGTAGCAGGTTATAAACATGTTTATTTCTGCTGTTACAGGGCTTCCTAACATCTAGTCTAATGGGACTGACTCAGCCTCAGGTTCTCATTCAAAGAACTAGTTTTCTTGCCACATTGGCTCCATCTCCGAGGTCACTGTTTTTCATGCTTTCATAGGGAAACAATGTATTTTACAAAGTGTTTATTTCATATTTCAGACCTAGTAGAAAGTCGGATTCTGTCTTTCTATATCTTTTCAGTGAAGCTAGTTAACATGTCAGCATTGGGAATTGCTATATAAACAAATAACAGGGGTTGTAAGATATCATTTAGGTGTATCCTTTAAAGCACAGTTTCTTGAATCCATTCAAGTTCGATGGTATTTGAAATGAATCTGAAATGTGTTATATTAGTATTTTGAGAACAGCTCTCAACTGTAGCTCAGTTCACAACAGCTCTGTAGGCTCCTGGGACCACAAGTGATGCAACTCGGCCCTTCCTCAGTAGAAGAGGATTTGTTGTCAACCAGTGCTCCTCGGCTGACAGGAACTATCATTATGAGCGTGTTGGCAAAACCCACAAAAAGCCCTGTGGCGCTGAGCTGTTAATGCAAAGCTCGCTGAAGTTTCATTTTTCCATCCACACTGTGGGTGAGCGGTGGTCTGACAGAAATCAGTGCTGACGGACGTTTTATTTCACGACATCCATTTTACACAAAGAAACTAAAAATGGTGTAACGAGGCTGAAAGATTCATATGAGTGGAGAGTAATCAGTGCATATGAAGGTCCTCCTTTTTGTCTTCTTGGAATACAGGAAGCTCACTGGGATTTTTCTGGTGAAAAAATCCAGCCAGATAACATAATTCAATTAAGTTCAGTTTTATTTATAAAATTAGGCTCCTAAATCCTTGTCTGATGAATCCTAAGGGTTCAGTACCCAGAGAGGTTTTCTACTTTTTCAAATGTAACCTTAAGAACACACGAAAAACATTATTACAGGTCATAAACATGTCAAGTTTCTTTTTAATCTCTTAGCGTGTTCCAATTCTGTTGTTTAACTGAGCAAACATATAGTAGCTGCAGTTGTATTTCTGCAGTTAAGCACTGCTCAAATGCTTCTGCAAAAAAAGTTCTAAAAGTGGGATAAAATAGGTTATTTGATGCAACAAGTGTATAATAGCCATTAACATTGTTTGTGTTGGGTGACCAGAGGAGTGGTGCCTTTGACCCCCATGTTTCTCCCCCATGACTGCACCCCTGGTTTTACACTAGTTTTATACTATATTAAAGTATATTAAAGTTTTAACACTGCAAAGAATTACACGTGCACGATGTCTTGCATACCAACAGACAGTCCTGTTTCTGAGAGATTTATGACCGGCATCATTTTTTATTATGCGGGAGAAACGAGGCAGAAGCGCCTTTGATGAATGAGGCGATGTCTTTGAAACGGATGAATGCAACACGTTACATTTAAAAGCCTGCCATTTATTATCGAAAGCAAAACAGCTTTCAATCAAACGCGTCGCCCAGTTTAAAAGTCTCACGTTTTGAAAAGGGGAAAGATGATTGCATGACAGGCAGAAGCGGGGACTAGCAGAGGCTTATTATCTGTGCTGGCACAAAGAAGAGAGGCATAATCTATTCTTGTGCGAGAGGCAGTTTCGTTGTCATAGCAACTGATATCCATTTTTATCCTTCATCTGACAGCCTGAGTGGGCGGGACTTCCACCTGTCAGTTATTTCCAAAGGTATTTTTATGCGGTGACAGTTGACCCCTGGACGCTTTCGATGGTTTCAAACGTGAGTGTAAAAATATTATTGCGGCATTAATCACTATGGACACTGCTGTATAATATTTAGAAAAGCACTAGCCTGACCTGGGGTCGTATTAGCCTTTTTTTTTTTTTTTTTACATCCTTTCACATGAACAGCAGCAGTCGAGCTAGCTTTATCGACATTAGTGTCATCTCGGCAGATTAGAAGGGAGGTGCGCTAACCTTTGCTGAGTGTACATTTGAATTAAAGAGATGCTTTTGCTTTCTGTGCTGGACTAAACGAAAACGGAAGTTATTGTAAGGCTTCCTCTTGTTGTGTTGCGCCTCTCTTGATAAACGAACAACATTTCCCAGAAGTCCTTGCCGCTGACCTGTCACCCAAAATGTCAGCCCTCTGAAAGCAAATGCGCCGGGGTTATTATGATTACAGTGCTCTTTCTTTTAAAGTTTCGTTTATATATATAATAATTCGTATATTTAATTGTATCGCGTGAACATTACATCATCATTATTTCTCCTCCCTGTCTTCTTCATGGCGTGAGGCTACAAGCGGAACCGAAACATGTCGTTTTCTATGGTGAAACGGTGCTGTGGGACGCCCCTGTTTAGACGTGTGCTGCAGTTTAAAATGTGCAGAAGGAAGAATCAAGACTCTAATGTGACCTACACAGTGTTCAGACACCGCTGGATGAAAGCACTGCCTGTGCTATGCAGCAGCTCCAGGAGGCTAAGCACCCAGTCCGACAAGGTAATAAACTGCTGGGACCTGGTACTGTCAGCGTGAACTAGATACAATAAACATTGATAATGATAATATTAATAATTATAACCAGGTACACTGGTGTTACAGTCCGGAATACAGCTGTTCAGTGCACGCTTCTGCTGTTTTGCTTTTAAGGATGCTGTGGACCTGTCCAAATTCCCTGTGGACAGAATCAGGAACTTCTGCATCATCGCCCATATTGATCACGGGAAAAGCACCTTGGCTGACAGACTGCTGGAAATGACTGGTATGTTTGCTCTCCACACTCTACACTGTCAGCTTTTCACCTTTTCATTTTTTAGCAAATCCAAATTAATCATAATTTATTTTTATTTTTTTAAACGTCCAGGAGGTAGAAGTTAATGACACAAACTTGTAATATTGCTCCTGTCGAGAGTGCTCCACGAGCGAAACTCCACAGTGTCCTCTACTTAAGGGTAAAAGTAACAAAGAAACAAATGTGAGGCAAAGAGCAGGGTTGTGTGATGCAGTGTCACACATGTTTCTGATGTTAAGAGGTGGTCTGAAATTTGAGAAATAAACGCCTCCAAAAACAGGAGAAACTTTGAATTTAATGTGTGAGGACAAATCAGTTGTATTTGACTTTGGTTTCATTTCAGCATAACTAGATCAAGGATTGAGGGGAGCGTGACTTGATGGCTTTCTATAACTGTCAACGTGTTGTAGCTGTTTTCAGCTGCTGCCTAGTCTGGAGTTCACTGGGGATGAGCCCATACATCACTGCTACCCTTTTTCAGCCACACACTTCATTTGAGACTCACATGTACTCTGTGACTTAAGTTCATATTCTTCCCTGGGACATTATGTCAGTATATGAGCGATGTGGTATGAGCAATCTAAAGTACGACCCCTGGTCACCCTACTCCTGCTGCTGGAGGCCCGATAGCACCTCTCACACACGTCAGGGAGCACCCGTCAGCAGTTCACATTTTTTGGTGTTGCATATGTTGAAACTAATTCATGTCATTTTCACTGATGGTGTCACTAACAAACAGGTGCGATAGCGAAGACGGAGAAGAACAAACAGGTGCTGGACAAGCTGCAGGTGGAGCGAGAGAGGGGGATAACCGTAAAGGCCCAGACAGCGTCTTTGTTTTACAACCACGAGGGGCAGCGGTACCTCCTGAACCTCATTGACACCCCGGTAAGGAGAGGTGTACGTTCGTATACTAAGTAGCAAATTCAATAGAACCGGGCTTTGTTGCGTTAACTGGCCCGACGAACCTAAAACCCCCTTCACAGCTGACAGGTGTCACAATGGCAGTTATCAGCTGTTGCATGCATCGTTTCACTCTCTTTTTCCACAAAATCAAAAGAGTTACACCCTTCTCCACTCAGAGACATTATCAGAGGAACAGGTGCAGCAGATCTATAATGAGCATTCAAATAAAACACTGTTGCTGCAAGTATGATGAGAGTAAAGCTGAGAAAAGTCATTAACCAATCACCACTTTACTTAGTGGAGGAAAAAAAGAATATTTAGTATAATATATTTACTTTAGCGCTTCCTGACAGTCGATGTGACATTTGCCATCAGGTCAAAGTGAAATTTATCTTATTGATTGAAAAGATATTCTTAGTGATAAATAGCTTACAGACTGATCAATGTTCAAGTCTGAGCTCATTCGTTGCAAATCTATCTGTGTAAAAGAGCCTCTGCAGCATTGGGACCAAGAATAAAAACAGTTATAGATTTTCTGCATCACCAACTGAATACATGCAAATTCGCATAACAATGTGATCACACAGTTTGCGCTGCTGTAATTTTAGAGCATGGCTTCCTCCATCTTTGTTAGCTCAAAAGTTTGCATGTATGAAATATATTCTTTCTGCAGAGCATATGTTGAACTCTTTAAGAGCACTTACACATAGTTACAGACATACTGTTGAAACTGCACTTATTAAAATCAAAATGAGCTGTATGTGGCCCAAAGATGAGTTTGTGATCCCTGGGCTAACATGCCATTTTTCCGTAAAGTTGTTTTTGCTCAAGCTGTGCATGTGAATCTTCTCCTCAGGGTCACGTCGACTTCAGCTACGAAGTGTCTCGCTCGATTTCTGCTTGCCAGGGTGTCCTGTTGATCGTTGATGCCAATCAGGTACTAAAATATGCTTTCTTTGTCATGTGCTTGCTGCATAAGTGTGAAGATTTTAATTTTTTGCTGTCGTGTGAAGGGCATTCAGGCACAAACTGTTGCTAACTTCTACCTGGCATTTGAAGCTCAGCTGACAATCATTCCCGTCATCAATAAGGTACGATCTGACCTTCCACTGTTTGGGTTTGTTACACGCTATCGTTATAGTCGAACACATGTTTGATTCTGGTGCGTCTCCTTCAGATTGATTTGAAAAATGCTGATCCAGAGAGGGTGGAGTCACAGATTGAAAAGGTGTTTGATATTCCACGTGAAGAATGCATCAGGGTGAGCACTTGCTGCAAAAGCTGCTCTTCACTTTGCTTTGAGTCACTTTTCTGAGAAATGTCTCCGTGTGTTCTTCAGATTTCAGCTAAACTTGGAACAAATGTTGACAAGGTGCTCCAAGCTGTTGTAAACAGGATTCCACCGTAAGAAGGCTCTGCTGGTTTTACTCCTTATCTGAAAAATATTTGATATAAAACAAAAACACAAACGTAAAATGTTACTACTTTTTCACAGGCCCATAGCGAGCACTGAAGACCCATTTAAAGCCTTAGTGTTTGACTCCAATTTTGACCACTACAGAGGAGTCGTGGCCAACATTGCCGTGTTTGGAGGTCGGGTCAAAAAAGGGGACAAGATCGTGTCGGCACATCTCGGAAAAGCCTACGAGGTCAACGAGCTAGGCCTTCTCCGGCCAGATGAGCACCCAACGCAAAAGCTGTACGCTCTGTTAATCCTCCACTCATTTTTCCCATTTCTTTTCATTTCCACTAAAACTGACTTTAGGATTCATCTCATGATCTCTGCTACAGTCAGTGATCGTAACGTTTTACATAAATAAAAACTAAACTACTTTCAGCAAATTTATATGAAAAAGAGTTTCCAATGCAAGGGATGAAAACTTACCTGATTACCTGATTTAAGTTTGGCTGCTGTCCCCTTAAAGGTGGTCTTTTATCACGTAGCTCACGATTGTTTTAAGAGTTCCTGATTGATCCTGTTCTGACCGCTTTCACTTGATCAGTTGACGTGTGCTGAATCAACTCCTACACTGTGAGAAAACAGTGACCCGTCATCCTCAGGTTCAGAACGACGAAGCTCTAAGGAGCCCAATCTAGTGCTGGAGGTGAGGAAAGATGGTGAGGAAGGAAGTGAAGACGTTATACTTGAGAGCGTGAGCTTTAAAGAACATTTTAGGTTGATTCCTGACTCGATGTGCCGCCTTCAGTATTTTTCACGTGCACACTTTTGAAAGTGATAATTGTCAGCAGGAAGATGGAGTCAGTTTGACACTGACGTTGATGTTTACCCTCTCGGTGAGTTTGCAGCCCATGGGGAAACAGCAGATGTGCATATGGACATGGTCAGAACAGAACCTCCAAAGAACAATCAAAATACAGCAGGAGCCCTGGAATATTTATGCCATAGAATGTATATAAAAGATGGACCTACTCATTAATTGGTTAGTAAAACCTACAGCCGAGCATTTCCACTGTTGCCATCTTGATGTTTTGAGCGATGGGCAGGTCTGACAGAAACTGAGGGACACTGCACAGCAGTATGTCAACTGCATGGTAAAGCACACTCTGCTTTATGCTCCTACTGGACATTAATGACAATTTTGTTGTATTCAGTATGACTTGGCAGTAACACTTGATACTTTAAACCAGCGGGCCCCAACCTTTTTTGCGCCACAGACCGGTTTAATGTCAGAGAATATTTTCATGGACCGGCCTTTAAGGTGTCGCGGATAAATACAACAAAATAAAATGACCCGACTAAGACAAAAACTGTGGTATTTTGTAAACATAATAATAAATGTGAATCCACTGTGTAATTGTGTAACTTTATTAGCAGCGTCCTCCTGAAATGCGCCAACAGCACTGAAAGTTATGGTAACGCGTAAATATTTCTTTCAAAATAAGACACACAACTACAACACGGGAAGAGACCCAGGGAAACAGAGTTAACAATAAAAATCCCGAAAACCATAAATTTCACACCTGAGCCTCAACTCTCGTGGCCCGGTACCAAATGACTCACGGACCAGTACCGGTCCATGGCCCAGGGGTTGGGGACCGCTGCTCTAAACCCATCATGAATGTGTTTACTGGAAGTCTTGGAGCTTGGAAATAGACTTCTTTTTAAAACCACAAAATTCACCACACTACACAAAACTCACTTCTTGGCTTTACTGTTATGACATATAGGCCGTGTCCATCTTTTATCTACAGGTTATGCTCACAGCACTTTACAATGAGATGACCTTATGTGGGATATCAACCAAATTTAAAAGGTTAAACTGGGTAAATTGTTATTTATTATTTTGTGGTGGGAGTCGGCAAACATTTTGATCACACCTTATCATTATTTTTTGTATGCTTTCTCTGATTTCTCAGAGTCTACCTTTGACAATAATTACTGTTATTTTATTTTATCAGTTACTTGAACTATTGAATACACAGACCAACATTTCCAAAATAACCACAGGTTAAAAAATCAGTTTCATTTACAGGTGTGCAGAGGTTTTTGCAAAATAAAGACTGAAGGTTATAAATTAGTGTTGCTTTCTGAGGTTGGCTTTTTTGTAGATTTGCAGGTCAGGTGGGTTACATCATAGCAGGGATGAAGGATGTGAAAGAGGCCCAGATCGGTGACACACTCTACCTGCATGAACAGCCAGTTGAAGCTCTCCCAGGATTCAAACCTGCCAAAGCCATGGTCTTTGCTGGTAAGACGTGTCCTTTCTGTTTCAATGAAAAAAATAAAAAAGATTAAGAACTTGAGCTAATGTAACCATTTCTACATTAACACTGTGAGATGGTAATAATGTGAAGCTTAGTCCTGAGTACTTCGAAAGAACTGGATAAAGATGAAAGTCCTTTGTGTTTCCACTGTGATGCAGGAGTCTTGTTTCCTGCTGATGTACACTCTCTATTTTTCCCGTCCCTCAGGCATGTATCCAATGGACCAGTCAGAATACACTGGCCTCCGCAGCGCCATTGAAAGACTGACCCTGAATGACTCAAGTGTCGCAGTGCAAAGAGACAGCAGTCTGGCCCTGGGGGCAGGATGGAGGTTGGCATGAATGTTTTTTGAATTAGACTAAAAATGATACCCAGCCAAGGATTGGGCTGTTGGGTGTCATGTAGGGGTGAATGGAAACAAAGTCTTTGGGTAATTAAGACACTGAGGTGTGGACACACAAATGTTTAGTTCCCACTTACGAGATTTTAAGGAGGTTACTGTAAAAGTATTGAAAACATTCAAATTTCCCATTTATGTTAGTGTTCAGGCACTTGGTACAGGGTGAAAGCACCTTTGGCAGCAGGCACCACTGACAGCGTCACAGCTTTTTTGGAATGACCCCTACAAGCTTGGCACACTACAGTTTTGGAAATATCTTCTATTTTTCTTGGCAGAGTCGTTTAAGCTTAACGAGATTGGTTAGTTAGGTCAGTGCACAGCCTTTGGTCTCTTGAGAGGTTCTCTATCAACTTTAAGTCCAGACTCTGGACTCTAGCTGGGCCACACCAGAACTGTTTTTCATGTTTTCTTGGCAGTCTGTGTTGGGTCATCATCTTCTTGAAATGTAAACCTTTGCCCCAGCCTGAGATCCTCCTGAGCACACAAGGTGACAATCAGAGGCTGGTCTCCTCAACACATGCCACCGAGATGTGTGAGAGTGTGGCAGAGTAATCAATTTTAAACCAGAGGACTTTGATAAAGTTAAACTTTTCTCAGGGCGAACGACTGAAGTGTCTGCCAGTTACAGTGAAAGATACTGTTACTGATTCACTTACGATAGGGTGGTAAATGCATTATATGGTTACCTTGGTAACCAGAGACTGGAATGTCTGCTACTGACCATCAGCAACAACCAAGATTTGTCTCAGATTACTTAGACTAGCCGGGAAGCCAGATATTCGAGGACTGTTGGTGTGTCAAGATTTTTCTTTGAGAAGGTCAGAGGCTGTCACACTCTTTGGGCAGCTTCATCTCATTTTTGTTTATCTTCCTCTGATCTGAGTCTTGACAGAGTTCTGTCTGTCAGTCTGCCACGCACTATCAACTCAAAGATACCACACTCCTCCATAGTTAGATATGGAGGACAAACACAGACTGTGTTTGTGTACTTAGTCAAAAAGTTGTCTCTAGAATTCTGTGCACTGTTTTCCCTCAGTGGTCTCCATCTTGCCTACATGAGGAGAAAAAGAGGGACACAGGATACATCAATGAAACAGACTGTGATGCTAATAGCTTGACATCTTACTTTTTTTTTTTCTGGATTGGCGTTATTTAGTTGTGTTTTTTGGTGTTTTGTGTATTAAATGATCATCTGTAATGCACAAGAATCTGGAAATACGTGTGCTCAGCAACACAACATGTTCAGTTAAGTTTAATTCAATCTTATTTATATAACATCAAATCACAGTCAAAGTCAAAAGTAAGGTAAAGACCCTAAAATAATGCAGAGAACTCCCAACACAAGAAGACCCCCTATGAGCAAGCACTTGGCGACAGTGGGAAGGAAAAACTCCCTTTTAACAGGCAGAAACCTCCAGCAGAACCAGGCTTAGGGAGGGGCGGGGCCATCTGCCGTGGCAGAATGTGGCAGTTAGCATGACCGTCCCAAACAGTAAAATCCTCATTTCCCATTAATGCCCAGCTTTCTGGTTGACCAAGTTTTTAAATGAAGTCTGAAAAAAAAAATCGCAAAAGTTTACAAAAGCTGTTTTCTGCTTTGTCACTTTGGACTTTTGTGTGTTTATTGATGAGAAAATTAATGAGCTGAATCCAGTTTAATATTCTGTCATGATTTTGTTCACAAACTTTAACAACAAATGATTAATCGGGGAAACATAACTTTCCTTAGGACATACTGGGTGTTGCCAGATTACTCAGCCAAGTACGAGTCTGTTTATTATCTCAGGTCACATTATCAGTCCAGATGATGTACATTCGATTCTGTTCGTGGGCGTGATTTAGACAATCTAAATGTACAACACTGTGCTGGGATAGCAATGAGTCTTACTTACTGTTGAACTGTTTCCAAACGGCCTCTTTCTAATTAAAAGCCTGAATATCAATTATGAAGCTCGAGTGCACCTGTGGACCTTCCTGTCCCCCTGCAGACTTGGCTTCCTGGGTCTCCTCCATATGGAGGTGTTCAATCAGAGGCTGGAGCAGGAATACAATGCTTCTGTTATCGTGACTGCGCCCACCGTGCCCTACAAGGCTGTGCTCTCCTCAGCCAAACTCATCAAGGTAAGAGCCATTCCACGCTCGTATATTTTCTAGCCTTGCTGCAGAGCTTGGCTCACGCTGATTTCATCAAAAAGCAAGTTTCACCTGACTTGGAAATTGATTATGGATGAAGGCTGTCTGGTGTCACTGGCTTGCTTCCTGTAAAATGATATAGTGTAGGAGCTACCTGATGGGAAATGGTGCAGAATGTTCTAACGCTAATGGGAAAACACAAAGCATGCTGAAGTCCCTCTGTTACTTATCGTGCACTCAGCTCTATAAATAGTTGGACCATTAAACGTTTTATTATTTTTTTTGTAATATCACCTCTCCGCATCATTTTAAATCAAACATTCACAGTGTGATTAAAGTTTAGACTTTCAGCTTTTTATTTAAGGGGTTTAGCAAAGATATTTTATTAACATTTTAGGATTCACAGCCATATTCATGCATAGTCTCTGATTTCCAGAGCCCCAAAAGTAACTGGACAAACTAACATAATTTTAAATATAATGATTTTTTTTCTCAGATGAAAATCCTTTCCTCCCTTGAGATCCTGTGTTAGACCTTTAATGCAGCAACCTTCAGTTGCTGCTTGCTTGTCTCTCTGCATTCATTTTAGTCTTCACTAACTAAAGAGCAGCTCTACTGGGTTAAAATCAGGTGACTGACTTGGCCATTGAAGAATATCCCATTTCTTTGCTATATGTTGATATTCATTTGCTCTGTGAAGGGCTGGACAATTGGTTTTTGCAGCATTTAGCTGAACCTGAGCAGAGAGTACAGCCATGTACACTTCACAATTCATCCTGATACTTCATATCAGGTCACATCATCAGTAAACACTAGTGACATGGATCCACTGGCAGTCATATATGCCTCTGCTGATTGTTTTAGATCATGAGATATTCTTTCCTTTTCTATACAAAGTGCTACAATTTAGTCTTGGTTTTATATCTCCACACTTATTTTTGTTTGTTTTGCTCTTGTAGATGTTTTCTGCCAAAGTCTAATCTGGCCTTCTTGTTTTTGAATGAAACCAGAGGTTTAAACCTTGTTGTAAATCCTCTGTATGTCCATTCATGAAGGCGTCACCTGATAATGTTATGTCTATCTGCTTCAGTGTTCTTGAATTTGTTAGATGCTGTTAAGTTGTTTCTTACTAAGAAAATAATTCTGTGATCACTGACTTGAGTTGTCTTCTGTGGTCTTTCAAGGCGTTTGATGTTGTTTAGCTGCCCAGTGCACTCATTCACTTTAAGAATGTGTCAAATCGTTGGTTCAAAGACAAAACAACGTGTAATGCTGGGAAACTTTCTTATCCCACTGTCAGTAAATATTGTAATGATTTTCTATTATTTTGTGACAAATTATTAAAAAATCTCAGAAAATAGAAATAAATATGTTTTACAATGTTCAAACCTTCTTCTGCTTACAGGAACATGGCAGTGAGGAGATAACCATTGTGAATCCTGCTCAGTTCCCCGACAGGTCGGTCGTGTCAGAGTATTTGGAGCCCATGGTCTTGGGGACCATTCTCGCTCCAGACGTTTACATTGGAAAGATTATGACTCTGTGTTTGGTAAGAAGGAAATGGGAAAAATGCAGATGGAATATAGAAGAAAACCTCCGTCTGCAGTTTAACCTGTACAAGTTATTTTACTTTTCTATTTTAACATTATCGCTCTACTTTGTAAACATCTTATCTAAATTGTGGGAGAACAAATTTAAAAACTTTAAAAACTGGTCTGATGACAAAGAGGACCAATAATACTGTAACCTGGAGAACGAATTTCCATCTGTGTTTATGAAGAACGTATTTTCCGATGAGACTGACATTTTCAGGTGTTTTTGTCTCCATGCAGCCTTCCTCTGTTTCAGAAATAACCAATAAAGTTATAGCTGGTGTATCAATAACATGTCAGACTAACGGTTTGTGTTCTTATAGAATCGCAGGGCGGTCCAGAAGAACATGGTGTACATAGATGACCAGCGTGTCATGATGAAATATCTCTTCCCTTTAAATGAAATCGTGGTGGATTTCTATGACCTCCTCAAATCACTCTCATCTGGATACGCCAGGTAAAGCCATCAAAGTGTTATGTAAATACACTGTGTAAAGGATTTTTATAGATTTTGTAGGTTTCATCTGCAGTATTTAGGTATTAAGATTTATAGAAGGTATCATTTTTAGGAAAGTGTAGATTATGGAAAGTATCCAATGTTACAAGTTTAAAAATAGGTTTCACACATTAAGTTATTAATTCATTTTAATTTTGGTGTAAAATCTTTTTCCATGCACTCTAATGGTGTAGCCTCTCCTGTGCACCTTATGTATTTTTATGTTGCGCAGCTTTGATTATGAGAATGCAGGTTACCAGGCTGCTGATTTGATAAAGATGGATATTCTGCTGAATGGACGCCCAGTAGAAGAGCTGACCACAGTTGTACACAGGTACATTTCAGATAATGCTCTGAGGTAAAAAATTGAGACTTTTGTGTTAATTTTCACTGAATGATTTACTTTGTTTGGCCAGGACATGTGACTCTGATGTTACTTAAGAGCACCTTGTTATGAATTTTTTTGGTCATATTCTTACCTTCATTGTTATTGTTACTGGCAAGGTTACAGTATATAGTCCTTCATTGCTATAGTAATTACTCTTTGCCTGTGAAGCATGAAATGTATTCAGCACTATGGTTAACATTTAAGAAAAAAAGGCCTTTTGGCAGCTGCTGTTAACATGACTTTACACACTGGACAAGGACAAAGGAGTAACTTTACAGAAGAAAAGTGATGATGCTCAGCAAGATCTGTGTGTAATGTACTCACTAGCAAAGCTGGTACAGGAGCCAGCACAGACGTAGGTAATTGAAGGGCGCTACGCTTCGCCAATGATGGCTACTCTCAGACGATTTATACAGTAAGCCTTGGAGCTGAGCCGACTCGAGCGAAGCTTCGGTCTGTTCCTTAAGGCCAACGCACCAGTCACAGAGCAGAATGTCTTTTATTGGAGGCGTGTTCACTACGCCTTTTCAAGTAGAGAAGTCATTAACATACCTTACAGTTTGAAAACGGATGTATAGAAAATGTATGATCCAGTTTCTCCCAAAGAGATGGGTGATGAAGTTCATGCTTCATTTGAGAGGATGGTGCTAGCTGACCCATTACAGCTAGTTCCTTTTATCCAATCACGAGAAAACTGAAAGCTTTTTCATTTTTACACGGGCTTAACATATCTTACAAATAAACAAGTAAATATATATTATCAATAACTATTACTATCTAAGGAGCTTCTGAACTTCTTGAAGTTTCTTGAAGACGTTTCACCTCTCATCCGAGAACCTTCTTCAGTTCTAAGGGTAATTGGTGGAGAGTCCCAGATTTTTAAACCCTACTGGGAGTGTCCTTAAGAGGGTAGTTGATCCATTGATCATCTGCCTAATCACCTGAGCCAGGGTGTGAAAACTGATGTGGATCACTATACGGGTGAACCCATTGTGAGACCTTGCCCCACCCTATCATGTGACTTATGCGAGTGGGCGTTAAGGCGTCTAGGAAGGGATCTCAAAAGGGTTTGGGTGGGAAGGTGTCACAGTGGGTTCACCTGAAACTTTGGCTGATAGATGAAATGTCTTCAAGAAACTCCAGTCGCCTTTCTTTTAAAGCTGCTTAGATTACCATGACCTGGATGACTGAGAACCTTCAAAGACATTATATTTTTATATAATACTAATATAAAGCATAATTTTAAAACTTTGGACAGAGCTACACAAGCTATATGGAGTTTGTTGTGCACAAGTTTGCACAACAAACTTGTGCACAACAAGTTAGTACTCTAGATTAAGGACAAATGTTTAAATTTCAAAGTACTGTGAGTCCTGTGGCTTCAACCATGGTTTGATTTTGTGCTGACCTCCCAAACAGAACGCTTATTGATTAATTGTAAATGACACACGGGCATGTCAGTATTCAATACTGTATTTTAAGGTGACGTGTTGAGGGTAGTGGACTTTCTGCTCCACTCTCATTTGCTTTTTCATCAGCTTTACCTGTCAGGGTGAAGCTGATATATGGGCACCCGTCAGTACTTTAACAGTTTTATGATTTGTTCTGATAAGTGTGTTTTCATTACAGGGAGCGTGCGTACAGTACAGGGAAAGCCATGTGTGAGCGACTAAAGGACTCCATCCCAAGGCAGATGTTTGAGATTGCCATACAGGCAGCTATTGGAAGTAAGGTCATTGCAAGAGAAACGTAAGTACAAGAGCTAAGATTTTGTTAAAATGATGTGTAGAAATCAGATGTGAAGTACTGTATTTAATATGTGGTATGACCACACGTGTCTCTTCCAGAATAAAGGCGTACAGAAAAAATGTTCTCGCAAAATGTGTAAGTAAAGTTTGTTTTTCTTTCTTCTTAGAAAAGTCCAAATATACCACTGATGCTTTGAAATCACTTTTTTTTTGTCTTGATAGTATGGAGGTGACATTACACGGAAAATGAAGCTACTGAAGAAACAGGCAGAAGGTAAAAAGAAGATGAGGCGTATCGGCAATGTGGAAGTTCCCAAAGATGCTTTTATTAGTGTTCTGAAGAGGAAAGAAAAATAGACTGTGAGACTATAAAACAACATGGAGCAGGTTTTTGTTATTGAAAGGCTCTGTTACGTTTTCTTTGAATAAAGTGCTGCAAACTGGAGTGAAAATCCTTATTTGTACATGTGTCACAAGTTATTGGCTCTTTTCTCTCAGGCAACACCAGCATTACAAACCATTCTTTCATCATTACACCTTCATGTTCATGACCATTATAGTTATAACTTATAGTTATACTTGTAACATTTACATAAATGCAGTCTGAAACCAATCAGGAGAATGGCTAGATGTTTGAAATGCAAAACCCCCACACTGGTTCAAGAGGAAGTAAAACAAGAGAAGCTCACATAGTACAGTTCTGTACAACATCTACCTGCTATATTGTTCAGTATGCGCCCTGATCAAATTATAGAATTATATAGAAATATAACTGGGAGCCGTAATGAGGAGGCCAAGCAGTTCAGCAGGGCACGGTCGCCATGACAACTCGATTCAAGTATGTCAAAGGGACTTTCGGGAAAAATACACTTTTGCTTTCTGTTACACCTGAAAATGACGCATTATTTTTGGTGTCATCACGTACAGCAGTTACTAATGTTTTTTTGTTTTGTTTTTTCCCAAGTATCACACAGTATCTAGGGAGGCACTGACACTGTCAGTCGTTTTAAAGAAAAAAACATATAGATGCCATTTCCATCCTTCATTATCTTAATGTGGAACTTCCCAGACTAGAAACTATCAGACTGCTTTCGCTGGCTGTTTGGCTTTAGTTGGTAGTAAACGCCGACAGCCACTGTCCTATTGTAGTCCTAGAAGACACTTTTACGTGACCATGAAAATGCTTTGATAGTTGGGATCACTAATACTTCTGGAATGACATCTTTTCCAAAAAGGCAATGACTCAATTTGACAATATTTTCTGGTATAACTAGATAAGTACTAGTTTTCACAAATTTTATTGGTAATAAACATCAGTGACTTTAACCACCTTCACTGTTTCTAAGCTTTTGTTGGAGAAAACAACTAATCAGGGGATCGTCCCCAATCATGAAATCACATTTAACAACTTTACAAAACACATCAGATGTGTTAGGATTAGGATTCACCTTTATTGTCATTACACATGTATAAATACGGGTAATGAAATACAGTTTGCTGTACAGACGGGCAGATATACAGATGTACTATGAACAATTATACTGATGTGGTCTGACGCTGCTGAAGCCTGATTGGACATTTTTATCAGTTAACTCAAATCAAACCATCTTTGTTTAGGAAAACAACCTGCACTTTAAACTTACCCCATAGTCCTATCAATATTATTTACAACCTAGTCCTTCATACTTACTACATCTTTATTTGTTGTTTTTTAGACCTTTTCAGATGAAAGAAAAGTACAATTTATATTCTGCATCATTCATGCTGCGTTTCTAGGGGAAAACTAAATCATTCATTGTTGTATATTCTGTTTTTCCAGTAGATGGCAGCAGGAGCTCAAGCACAGCACGAGGTGGAAGTTAATTTCATCCCCAGCTAATGTCCAGTCAGGCTTCATCAGCGTCAGACCACATCAGTGTCACATTTAAATTGTGCAAAAAAATTCAACACTGTCCCCAGCAGTTCATTTGCCTGATGAAAGTATCTCATTGCCTCTAAGTGCTGTCCTTTGTACTTAGGCAATGTAAGCAAATCTAATTCAGGGACCAGCTGGCATTTTGCTGCAGTAAAGAGGAGGAGGACAAACGCTCACAAAGTGTACTTCAGCGTGTGTAGTGGATTCAGGAGAGGAACACTTCTTATTAATCTGTGTGGACTATTACAGATTATAGGCCTGTTTTTCCTTCACATTTTGTCAGCATAGCAGGGAGAGCACATAGGACTCTGACGGATGACTAATGAGGCCATTAATCAGCAACGTAGGGAATGAATGGCCATAGGTTTCCAACAGGCAGTTTTTATGTGGCTGTCAGACAAGTAAGAGCTTTCAACTGCTTCTGCTGTTGAGATGGAAGGTACTGAAAACAGCAGTAGAATTGCAAACATTCAGATGGAAAACTTTCCTTATAATTAAACAGAAAGTCATAAATATATATAATGTGTGTGTGTGTGCGTGTGTATAACACTGTAATATTCAATTCAATTTTAAAGTACCAAAACACATCAGCAGTTGCCTCGGGGTGCTTTATATTGTAAGGTTAATACCTTGCAATAACAGTGTCACTCTGACAAGCATGCGTCGTAGGAAACGCGATTTGGTGTTGTTTGGCTCTAACTCCCACCCGTAGTTTCGTGCTATCAATGCGGAAGCAGCTATGAATGAACACAGTGCTAACCGCTGGTAGTGTGTATATTGTGAATTACGCCCACATATACACCACGCAACTCATTGACACGTAGCTTTATAATATTTTGATTCACAGCGCTTCCACCTGAAATGGGATACCATGACTTTTACTGCTCTTTTTAATTTAATTAAACAGAGTAGAAAGCGTTATATTGGTTGCTAGCTAGCAAGTCATCTCTGTAGCCTAACTTCCTAAAGTGTCCGTCGGCCAAACCATGAAGGTCCGCTCGTCTGTTTTTGCCTCCTTTATTTTAATATTCGAAGTGATTGGCATTGCCCTTTTCCTGCGGGGATTTTTCCCCGTACCTGTCAAGTCTTCTTTCTCATCCAAAAGCAAGCTGTCAGATCTGCCAGCCGAGCCGCTGACAGGTGAGTCCAGCCTCATCCACATCTGCTCACACTCCTCTCCTCGGCCTGTACTGTTGACATAAATCTGTTAAAACTCATAAGCTTTCTTCTAACCTCACAGGAAGCGCTCCTAATTCATCTCGCCTCCCGCAGCCCCTGTTTAAAAGGGTGGTTATTATGTTAGTGGATGCCCTCCGAGAGGACTTTGTGTTTGGACCCAATGGTCGTATGTATATGCCCTACACAAGGCACGTGGTGGAAAGAGGCTCATCACACAGCTTTGTGGCCAAGGCGAGACCACCTACAGTCACTATGCCCAGGATCAAGGTAGGATGCCACTAGCATGATGTTGAAATGAGAACTCGCCCATCAAATCTGTCCACTGTCTCTCATCATGGCGTGTGTCTGTTAGAATTCTGGATTAGTGTTTGCTGTAGTGAGTCAACCACTTGGATCCAAACTATCAGCATTTCTCAAATCTTTCCAACTCCACACATAAATCTGCATCTCTGAAACTCTACATTAGCACTTTATTATGTAGTGAAAACTTGAAACGGATGATGCCAGGAATATTCTGTTGTTAATACCTAACCCTGTAATGTGGTATTCCTTTAAATACACACTAACTTCTCTGCTCTCTTTATGGTGCTGAAGGCGTGTAATATTTTCCATTACAGGCATGAAACCCAGGCTCAGTGTTAATGCTCAGTTTACTGTCCATTTTGTCTGCTTTGCAACTCAAATGCAGATTTAAACAACTAAATCTCATCTGTTTTGGTGTTTTATAGAAATCTGTTGATTCACACTAATGAGAAAATTGGACGTGTATTTTTTTTTAATGTGTTAAAAGAGTCATTAGTACATTTAGAAACATCCTAAATGAACAGACAGTTAAAAAAGTGTGAGAAATCAAGACAGGAAACATAACAAAACAGCATGGAGGAAGAATAAAATATAACACTTTAAAATGCTTGTGGAAAGTATAAGTCTTGTTTAAAAGAAAATAGCTAGACGATTGGAAGCGAGCAAAAACCATAAAAAACATAAATGTCTTCAAATCTTTCTGATAAATTCGGTGGATGGAGAGCATTTGATTGAGCAATATCACTGATTGTGAAACAATTGTTTGGCAATATATAAGAGCTCAGGTGAGAAAATCACTGCAATGATAGAGAAAAAAATTCAGATCTCCAGCATCCATGGAATAATGCCAAGAAATTCTACAGTGTGTGACATCTAGCAATGATAGAAGTCCTTTTTAATGAAAGATAAGAACATTTAATATATGATAAGATACCTGATAATGGAATATATTTAAATCAAAAAGGTGCACCTGCACCTTTCCATTTAGTATTTTGTTTTTTCTTAAAAAAATATTTTATTGTAATTCGGTATATTTTCTGGTTCATGTTGTTATAGGAAACTATAAATAATAACCAAAATGCAATAATAAAAGTTATTATTTTTATTATTAGTAGTAGTAGTGGCAGTAGTATTCATTTTAAAGACTTTAAAGTGTTTAAATTCCTAAGGAAGCCAGGCTTTCATTTGTTTGTACACAGGATTCCGATTTGTTCCTAAAGTTTGAACAAATTCAGGTATGAAAATGTTGATAAATGATGGATTTGTGTGTGAAATGCTCGTACGCATGATTTACGCACAGATTTGTGCGTATTCACTTTTGGTATTCATATCCTTAAGAGAGTGAATGGACTTAAGTTAGGGAAATTCCATCAGCTTGAAAAAACAAAAAAACAACTTAGCGCTATGTTTTTAACTTCTGTCTTATTTGTCTTCATTCAGAAGAGATTCCTGGAGACAGCTAAGGATGGAACTTATGCGGGTTGACTACTAATGATTAAAAGTTAGATATATTTGTTTTATGTTAGCATAACAGTGAAATGAGATTTTGTGCTCATGAAAAATTTTGCCTAAAGTGAACATATAAATAAACAAAAAAGCTCCTAAAGATGACTCCTGAGGTACACCACCAGTGATTGGGGTGGAGATGAAGAAAAGCTCCAAATCTTCACCCAAAAGGATCTTAATCAGTGTTTTCGATATGGATGAACGTCTTGAGAAGGTTGATTCTGGTGCCTACCTGATTTAGGGCAGTTTAAAAGAGTTGTGTGATTGAGGTGTGCAAAGATCTGGTAATACAACGATATATATATTGTGCAATTACCCAAAAGCACCTTTAAGAATTGCAGATTCTTAATAATTTGATTGTAGACAAACGTGAAACTGATGAAGACCAGGACTGTAATTTTGACTTGTATTGAGAAGGATTTAAATCATTCAGTCCCTGATCAGAGGTGTTTAAGCTAGAAATGGCAGTGCTTCTGTGAGCCCAGAAAAGCTTGTAAAAAGAACCTGTGATGAACATTTTGAATTAAGCTCTAAGTTTTCAGCCCGTATCTGAAAATAGGGTTAGATGGCTGAAAGCGTGAAAACATGGTGTGTTGTCACATTTGGATGATGTGTCATGTTGCCGAGAGTATTTTGGGAGCGGAGCCAGGAGGGAGTTGGAGTCATGTCATGTGCACCTTTCATGACAGTCTGCTGTGCTGTAACACGTTAACATCGCAGGCAGACAGAGAGCACACCACCAATTAAAGCCTGCCTGGAGCCCTTGCTGATACTTTTTAGGGAATGTATCTGATATTGATATCATCAGCCAATAGCATTATATATACAGTTACAAAAGAGAGATGGAGTCATTGTTTATTAGTAAATCGCCCCTTCTCGTCTGTGATCGGTACTACATGTGCTGCAAACGGGAGCTGTGTCACAGACTAACCATTTCAAAATCTGCAATCGTATAAAAGGTGTTTATATTGGTGCAAAATGGACAACATAAAAACCTTTACCTGTATGTTTGTGATAGGCCGCAGTTGACAGTTTGATATTTCAGTCAGGCTCTGTTGTCAGTGGTGTTGAAGAGATTTTGCAAAGGGAATGATTTTCGGGGAAAAAGAGCAGCCCTCTTTTGTCCATGGGTGTCGGGTAGTGCTGAGCTTGGGGGAAGCCATCTAACGGAAATTGTCAGGTGAAGCAGAATATGTGTGCCTGAGTGTCAGAGGGCAAAACTAAAAGCAGAGCCTGTGCCTTAGAGGAAGCGCTCTGCGGTGGGAGGATCGAGGATGTGCTGACAGCATCGAGTTGTTTTAACGGAAGGGGATTGCAATGCAAACTCAGACCTGGAGAAACGTGCTGCTGAAGGTTCACGGTATGGACACAGTTCTCCTCTGTAGCGTCTGGCACGGGAGGCATGAGAGTGCTGACTCGGCAATCTTCAGGTTAGTGAGGGTGACAGAGAGCATGTGTTGGTTAGGCAGTGAACAGGATGAGAGGTTGAGGCACAAAAAAGTAACTCTAGTGGGATACCAGCATGGAGAATGGAGGGTAGAGAAAGAGTTTTTTTTTTTTAAGTCAACATTTACATGTTCTGTATTTATTAAAAAAAAAGTGAAATACTTCAATCCTTCTTTTGTTTTGACTTTGATGATTGTGGCTTATAGCTCATTAAAATCAGGAATTCATTATCTCAGATTATTTTAGTATTGTAATCAATTTAGTAATCAATGAATGATATATAATAAAGAAATGCCCAAGCAAGTTTGTTTATACACTCAACACTGGTTGGGCCTCCGTTAACACAAATTATTGCATGGGTGTGTTATGACGTGGAGGCTGAGGTGTTACTGAAGGTTGCTTTGATAAAAGTCTTCAGCTCGTCTGTATTTCGGGGTCGGGTGTTTCTCATCTCCTACTTTACAGTACTCCATGGATTCTCCGTGGGCTTCAGGTCAGATGAATTGGTTTGCCCGTCAAGCTCAGTAATAATCTATTCGGCAAACTGTTTGGTCAGATGCTAAGAAGAAATCAGACTGAAGCATGAAGTGCTCCACAATCTCCTGGTAGGTGACTGTGCTGACTTTGGACTTGATAAAACACAGTGGACTAACCACCACCAACACCAGCAGAGGACATGTCATCCCAAATCATCAAAGACTGCACAAGTTTCCACTGGACTTCAAAGATCATGGATTCTGCGCTCTTCTTTCCGACTCGAACACCTTGATTTCCAAATGAATGCAACATTTGCTTTTATCTGAAAGAGCACTTTGGACCACTGAACAGCACTCCGGTTTTTTTCTTCTTAGAAGAAGTCAAGTCAGAAGTGGCTTCTTAGCCTAGGTAAGATACTTCTGACGTTGTAGACTAGATGACCAAACTAATGAAGTCATGGAGTACTTTTCTGTTAATTGAGTGGTTTGACCCTAGGAATGTGGCAGTTGTAGCCCCTTTCCTGAAGACATCTGTGCATGTTGGCACTGAATGTCACCAGACTCAGTCCATTCATATGAAGTTCAAAATTTTGACTAGCTCTCTTAAGTACTTAAGAACTCAGTCCACAGTCTGTAAGTTCTTGAGTACTTATGGCCGGTCCTTGACAATCCTTTCAAGGCTGTAGTCTGTGGAATATTGGCCCACTCCTCTTGTCTTTCTGAAGTTTAATTTACAGGATGTTGCACATGCTGTTGTACATGCCCATTGAAAAGTGTCCCAAATGTGCTCAAAGGGGGTCATGTGCAGTGAGTAGGCAGGCCATATAAGGACTGGGATTCAACTTCAAAAGGGTTGTGTACAGATCCTTGTACTGTGGGGTTGAACATCATCCTGCTACAACTTTAAGTGATAGTACATGACCCCACCCTACCCCCCACCCCGGGGATTCATCTTTGAAGCGAACACTTCCCTAACATGATAGCTGCCGTCAAAGGTGATCACTGGTGAGGACCATGAGCATGCAGACTAGCAGTTTCTGAGGGTTTTGCAGGAAATTCTCTGATTGTGCAAAAAAGCTGTCCCATTGGCTGGACCGCTACTTCCAGCTTCTGCTGGGGAAGAAGCTGGATGTGGCGGTCCTGGTTGCTTTGGTTACATGGTTATGGTTGTGAAATAAACATTAAGCTGACAAATCTGCACATTTTCCTGCAATCAGCATCCCAACTGCACCCTCCGTCTAAACCAGCATCATCTGTGGCCCTGTGCCCTGTGATAACACTGCAAAATGTAGAGCGACCTTCATTATTACCGTCTGAAGACACAGCTGTGCAGCAACCACGCTATTAATTCAGCATCTTGATACACTACACCTGTCAGGTGGATAGATTTTCTTGGCAAAAGGGAAGTGCAGATGACTAAACTAATGAAGTCCTGGGTTTTTCTGTTAATTGAATGATTGATGTTGGTGTTTTGAATGCTTTTTACTCTATGTCTCTGTTGCCAATTACATCTGCTAAGTAAAAATATACTTGGAGGTAGAAGTGAATTAAACAGAAAAAAGTAAACTTTCTGTAAATGTGTGAGAGAAAGGAGAACAAACACCCCGAAAAAAAACAAGCCGGTTATGATGTTATGGAGCATGTCATTGGTGATGTGGAGGAAGGCTGACAGGATAGAGTGGAGCGAGATTGAGGTGGACTTGCAGGGAGACAGATGTTTCACCATAATCCCCGGATTTAGAGAAGGAAGCGGTAGCGATGGAGAGAAAAGACAGCTTAAAAAAACAGTCCCAGATTTGAGCCTTTTAAAAAAGATTTCTTGACAGGACCAGAGAGGGGGTGGAGCAGGCGGCTGTAGCAGGAGATCAATAAGAGTAAATTTTAAATTTAGATTTAGAAGCGCGTGTGTGAAGGGTTTACGTTGCAGCAGAGGTGTGTAGTATGGAGACGGAGGAGACGGGAAAATTCAAGATGGCACGTCCTTCGGCTGCTCAGAAACATGCAAGTTTGATTTGTGGTTCATCTGCAGTCCTGCAGAAGGGCCACTTAATCACTTTTTAGAGAGCTTGGCTGTAACTCTAGATTCAAGGTAACTCACCTTGCATTTTGAGCTTAATGTAGTGGCTTCATTTTTCAACACACCTCTCCACAATTACATCCTGAATGATTGGCATCTACCTTTCAAACTGGGCTTTTTCATTGAGGAGCCGATAGAAAACTATAAGAACTCGGCCTAGTGTAGTGGCATCTGCTGTCACCCTGCAGCCAGTGCGTCACACAAAAACAGGCATGTAGTCATCGGGGCCCAGAGGCACGCGTAGATTTGTTTGCTGGTCAGTTTAACCTTGAAGTGATTCAGAAGTTCTGCTGTCCAAACAAAAAGTGCTCTGTTGCATCGTCGAGGCTTGATGACACACCAGTAGGTGGCATTACAGACCAACTGCCTATTACTGCCCACTATCACTGCATTGCACCCAATTAACTGCTATGACACAGCCAACTAACCTAAATCATAATCTCTCCGTGTCACAGCCATTAATTTACACACGACTACCTCCACAGTTTCTAATAATATAACAGTATATCTCCATGGAGATATATTGCATGGTTGACTTCAAGTCTGGTGCACAGTGAGGTTTTATAGTCTTCTTTCTTTTGTGTGTTGTGTTTTATTTGTGGGAAACAAACTGTTATTACGAAGGAAAACCCCCCATGGGGGTCATTTTTACAAAATTTGACGATCCCCAGTTTAGTTACTCATTCTTACCATGGCAAGCAGAGAAAATTAGTTTCCCTCCCCAGTCCTGCATTCACATGTGGCCGGTAGAGCCCCACGCTCCCACTGGCACAGCAGTCAGTGGACATTACTGAGATGCCGGACTTGGACAGTGAATTCAGTTAATCATAGCAGCTGTGGGTGTTTCAAAGGCTGGTATCTCCCGGGATAGTAAGAACACAGCAAGGCATGATAGTTTTTGCTTTTGTTTTAAAACTCCATATGTATTATCTGGTCATAAGGCCTGAGAAATTCTGGATATTTTCAGGTTAATGGTAGAAAGTGTTCCTTTCACGAGTCAAGAGAAAGTAAGCACTGAGGAGGAAACTGAAAAATCTTCTTCCAGGCTCGAGGACTCAGAATCGCAGCCCCCTTCCGTCTGCATTTTGGCACCTTGACAAGTTTTCATCACTATGCCAGAGAGTGTCTCTATACCCCACTGATATTGTATTTGACATTTACGCAGTAGCATCGCAAGCCTAGACACATACTGTGGGACAGTAATTAGTACGTTGATGAATCACTGATTCATTCGGGCAGCTTCTCGATGCCGTTTTGGCATCAAGAAGGATTTTAAGATGTAGCCTAATTAAGCTGAACTTTTCTGCACAGCTTTCAAACGGATCTTTTTTGTGCAATCGTCTAGATGCTTTTGTGTCCCTTCATTTGTTCTTGCAAACAGTGTTATCATTTTTGCCCTTTTTTATGTCCAAGGCACTGTTTTCATTAGTCAGGCTGTCTCTATTAATAGACTTGGGACCTTCCTGAGAGCGAACAAACTGAAAGAGACGCCTGCTTTTGAAGCAGAAAGCATCCATCTCTCCCCGAAACAAGCACCTGCGCTGGCAGAGGCAAAACAATCGCAAGGAAGGAAGTTGTGAATAATTGAGCTCAGGAACAGAGCTCAGAGGATGGGTTTCGGAATTGTTACACCTGTGAATAAACAGAAACAACTGAGAGGCTTCTGCTGTTAGTGGGTTACTTTGTACCAGAGTTTGTGTATTAGTTTGTCATTTTTAAATAGGGAGACACAAATATTTTAAGAAGAATATTATTTCTCTTAAAAAACATAAAAGATATTGGTATCCATAAGTGGATGTTATTTACAAGGATGTGCAAAAGGCGTAAACCACTGTGACTTCTTTGTATTTTGCTTCCAAGGCTCCAGAATTCCTTGTAATCTTTTAAAGGTTGCATTGAGTAGTAGTTCTTCAGGCTTTTTTAAGGTCTTTCAAAGTTTTGATGGTTTTCTTGGGGGGACTGTGGCTGCTTTTCACTCATTTTTAGTCAAGTCCCTATCCCTGACAATTTTCAGAAGAATCTTTTGTTTGTAAAGCTGCTCAATGACATGACTATCAAATGCTGTTTAAGTAATATGAAAAACTCCAGCAAAGACCCGACACAGAAACTGAGAGATTCATCTGGCCCTTCACTTGATCTGTCACCTGTTCATTGAAGCCTCATCAGAAATGGTCTCAGTGGAAGGTTGTCGGTCACGAAGTCATTCGTAAGGAAGGGAAATTACTTAAGAACTGGTGTGAAAATTGGTGGCAATGGGACTGATGGAGTGATGAACCCAGTTGTGAAAATTTTGTTTCAAAATTGTCATTATAATCTAAAACAGTACAGCATCTATAGAACACAGTGGAGGCTCTGTCATGGTTTGGAGCTGCCTTTTAACCAGTAGTGCTGGGGATGTTGGTGAATTTTACTTTATTTTAATTATGAATTATTAATGCAGGAAAGTCTGGTCAGATTTTGATCCACCATGCAATACCATCTGGAAAGTGTCCGATTGGCAACAGCTTCATTTTTCATCATGACAAAATCCCAGCTCACTGTCAGTGTGTATCCAAGTATACCTGGATAGAAAAACACACAGTCAAGGATTGGCCTCCCCAGCCAAGATCCAAAGAAGAGCTTTCAATGTCCCTCGAGAAGCCTGGAGAACTATTCCTGAAGACTACTTTTAGCCAGAAAGCTCAGTAAGAGAGTTTAGACTTTGTTGAAGAATAAAGGTGGGCATAACCAAATATGGATTTTCAGCCTGGTTAGTATTTCTCAGATTTTGTTTTTGCCTTATATACTGTGTGTCCATGTATGTTTGCAAGTGTTTCAATAGAAACATTGCACTACTGCAATATTAAGAAATAAGGGGGTTTTCAAGACTTTTGCACAGTTGTTTCGAATGCAATTTTGCACTGAATGAATGTTAAAGAATAATGAAATAGGTTTTAAACCAGGAGTGTTGTGGTTATTAATGAAGATGAACAAAATAAAATGTAGAATATGCTAACAGAAAAAAAATCACGAAACACCAAATTATTAGTCTAAACCTCAGCATTGGCATAGAAATTCACATCTGGCGTTAGTATTCAAAACGTGATGGAAAATAAAGAAAAGCTTGAATCTTGTGACATTGATGCATGATACTTGATGCATTTCTACCCCCATTTTTTGAAGTGTGACATCTTTGGTTTGTTTTCCTGTGTAGAAGCCATAGAATTGCGATAGAGAAGTGGCACCTATACGGTGATATAGCATAAATTGCTGAAAATGTCTTGTAAGCAAAAAAACCCCCCTAAAAACACTGAACAAAATACCCAGATGTGGACTCATCTGATCAGGGTTGATCAGATGAATACATAAACACAATAAGGGACGATATAGATGAATAGATGACAGTGAATTTTCTGGCCCTGGACCCCTTGACAGCTCCGTCTTGCTTTTCTCATATAATAAATCCTGGTCACTACTCATTTTAGTCTGGATTTTTGAGTGTCCCCGAGGATCCAGAGCAGTGCTCCAGGCAGCACATGGAGGGGGGGTGTTAAATAACAATGTCTCCTGCCATCATCTACAATCTCTTGTCTACTTCGCTGCATAAAGACAAGGCCTTTGTACTTTCCCCCTCGACGATGCACCAAGCTTTTTTCTGGCTTCCAAAATAGGCTGTGTTATAGTTGTCAGTCAAATTGAGGCCGATGTTGTTTTATTTCAGATTCCATGATGAAATCGGTAGAAACTATACTTCATAAATATCATGTGTCTACCTGATTCAGCTTTCACTTTCCATTTGTGGTAGCAAGATTGGTTTGGTGATGTGGGAATTGGTTTAATTTCTAATGTTAGATCAGTGTAGTAGCCATTTCAATTTGACTGTTTTTTTGTTTTTTTTTACCTTTAATAATAAAATAAATTAATGAATGTATACATTTTTTAACCAATCCCTGTACTGCAGCACAAATCCTAATTAGTGGGGTTAATATGATGAAACTGTAAGGTTGTATAACACCATTAAAAGACAATTATTGTTCAAAGGACAATGACAAAAACATATTCCTCCCCAGGCTCTTACCACTGGCAGTATCCCAGGCTTCATTGATGTGGTAATGAACCTAAATTCTCCTGCACTGTTGGAAGACAACCTCATTTGGCAAGCCAAAACTGCAGGGAAGAGGATAGTATTCTACGGGGATGACACCTGGGTGCGCCTTTTCCCAAAACACTTCATGGAATATGATGGCACAACTTCCTTTTTCGTGTCTGACTACACTGAGGTATGTGTGAGTTGAGCCGTTGGGGTTTGCTTGTAAAAGTCATGTAATGTAATTTTCTGCTAATATGAAAAGAAAAAAAAAAAGAATGAAAGCACCTGGTTGCTGATGTGGTACATGAATTTTAGAAATGATACATAAAAATGATCCAAGTCATACAAGGGATAAAGGCAGCTGATCAGCCAGCATCACATCAAAACTGCTCATCGAATAGCTCCATATGCCTTAGCGGCAATTTTCTGTGGGACTGTTTGCAATCTGTTCTTGTTTATAGTAGGATTTTGGCGGTTCTGAGCTCATTACCTGATAGGAGGGATGTTTACTTATCAAGGGTACCACAGGTTTGGGTAAATTTCCTCTTAGCTCAGATTTAATGAGGATAGTCTTGGTATGGAGATGAATTTTGAATAAAACAAGCCTAAATTAAATATGACAAATCTTGTATCTAAAGACGTGCGTCACCTTCTTTCCAGGTTGACAACAATGTAACCCGTCACTTGGACAGCACCTTAAAGAGAGATGACTGGGACATTTTAATCCTCCACTACCTAGGCCTGGACCACATTGGTCATATGAGTGGACCGTATAGCTCACTCATCCAACCCAAACTGATGGAGATGGACGACATCCTGAAGAAGATCCATAGTGCTCTCATTTCAAAGGTAATTTATTTTCTTAACTTCTACTCTTATGTGCATCATTTGCATTTTGTGTTATAGAAGAATTCCTTTTTGTTTCTGTTGGGTTAGAATGTAAGCTTTCTTTTATGAGACCTCGTTATTTTTATCCCAAGGCCCCTAATTGTAGCTAACTAGCAATATTTACCAACTAGTCTCAACCCGAGTCTTTAGAGAGATGCATGGATTCCAAATGAAACAAAGGTAGTCAGGAACTGACAACATCTTTAGAATTCAGGAGAATACCTCCAAGACTTTGTCATAGTCAACATTCTCCACCTTGGGAAGAGCACCGGATGACAAAGCTGACGTCAAATTGATCTCACATCTGCCGTTGCTAGCTGCTGTTTTGCCGATGGTATACCTCTTGACTGCTGGGTTGCAGACACGTTCGTGTCAGTTTTTACTACCATCACTACAGAACCTCAGAGATTATACAGAGGGAGATATGTCAACAGGGCTCTAGAGTGCGACCAATTTAGTCACACATGCAACCTAATTTCTCAATGATACGACTATAAAAACAATCCTAGGTCTCAGCTGTTCGATAAAAAAAAAAAAAAAAAAAAAAAAAAGCCTCTGCAACTCTGAAAGTCTCCGTGTGGTTAGCAACAGATGCACATTATGCATATCATGGTCTAAACCAATCAGAGATGGTCAAGTGCGGGACCTCTCTGATTCGTCCGACAGAAGTAGATGCAGCTGTGGGTAATGAGAAAGGACTGAAAAGAACGATTGATAACTTTTTCGTTAGGTTAATGCTTGATCTGCCCGAAATTCATAGCCAGTGCTGTGACACTAAGCCATCAGGTTACGTCTAACACTGGTTCGGAGACGACATCACATAACGAGCCACATACGATCGACTCCGAGCTAGAGCCCACTGAAAGTTAAAAGGGGAACGTGTATTCAAAGCGAGTGGCTTGACCAGTTTCCCTGGCTAAGATACATTAAAGCTGACAGAATGATGCACTGCTTTTACTGCCGTGAGTGTGGAAAGACTGTTGTGTTTGTGACTGGTGCTAATGTTTCGAATGGAAACGCCGAACAAGCACAGTGTATCCAGAAAACACATTATATGCTGCGATAAATGCACTGCCCAAGTGTCCCCTGTCCTCTAATTAAAAAAAAAAAGTGAACATGTAAAACTGTGGTGTTAAGCAATGTGTGTGCACTTAAGACAAAAAAGTCAGGTACACCAGTGCAACCATGGCAAAAAGTTAGTCTAGAGCCCTGATCAGCAGTTTGAAAAGATAAGACTTTCAAAAAATAATTTTTGGGGAAAATTATTGGGTTTTGACTTCGTTCCTTTCCTATATTAGCGCTGATATTGCACTGTTGTCTGAGTGGTGACGCCTGTTGCTCGGGAAAATACTGCAGCTGCTACTAGAGTCTTAAGGGTGAACATAAATAAAAGCAGCTGTGTGATGACGATACCTGTGCCCAACTTGATGGGCATACTGCATCCCAGCTGCATAGTTCCTCTTTATTTGAAACCTGTGGAACCCTTTCAGCCTACTTCAGGCCATACATGACCCATAGACATGTAAAATCTCAGAAATTGGTTTGCCAAGCAAATAAAATGTGAGTCTTGTTGCTTTCTTCCAAGAACAACCAAAACATAACAAAAATAATGGACTCTGCAACACTCAAAAACATCTAAAAAAACATGGGTAAAGTATTTAATTATTAATTTAGCAGCACTAAAGTACTTCAGCTCTGTTGTTGCCTGTTAAATATCCCTGACAAGCCTTCAGTTGCCACAGATGGACTCAAGGTAAATAATAAGGAGGGAGTCTACAAAAGATGTTTACACAAATCCAATAGACCTTATTGAATACTTGAGGTAGTTTTTTGTGGCCTGAAAAGCCCAGTTGAAAGGTAGGCCTGAACCACTTCCAAGAAACTTATACGACTGTGTATAATGTATGAGGGGGAGCTCATTTTGGCAAACCCTCGAAAAGATCCAACTCTGCATTTTCTGCAACCTTACATGTATGTGCTTTGCATTTTACCTCCTTTCAGTCTTTTGTTTTGGGTCCAGGGTTTCATTGTTGGGTTCTGAGCATCATGGAGCATTAAGCTTCAGAAGAGGCTGTTATTTTTCTTAGGAAGAGATGAGGGATGGAGTATTGGACTGTCAGTGCTGTTGCTGCTCATTGTTAATATAATTTGAGCCATTTTAAAGAGAGGTGAATGTAGGACAGACTTCTATTTTTTATTTTGCTCTCCATATTTTGTTTTAGTGCTTTGCCTTCAGGTTTTTGTGTGAAGCTAATGGGACTGATGTGCTTCGTAAGACTGAACTGAAATTAGCTATTGCTTGTCAACATCTGTTTGTCTCTAATACATTTATAGAATAACTCTTTTTTTTTTTTATGGTTGTTTAAATCTAGTTAGTGTCATAATAAAGTAAAGACAGGAAAATATGCAAATATGAAGTAATGACTGGTTAATATATTAATATGATGCTATCAGTGATTCTTTTTTTAACACTATCAGTTTTTAGGTAGGCATTTAATTACACAGAGAATTTGCACCGTTTCCAGCATTTATTATGTTATCTGTTGCAGGAACCACCAGAGATTTAATAAACTGTTAAGCTTTTGTTATCTTTAATTTTGCCTTTGATCAGTGTGCAGGTCTTGTGCCTTTGTTCTCCCCCCCCTCCTTTCACATGGTCTGGCAGCTGTGCATGCATATTGTCTTTGCACCGTGTGTGTGTTGCTAATGGGCATTTTCTTGCTGTCATTCAGCTATGGAGCTTGTATTTAGATTGTCAAGTCATGTCTACATGAGACTACAACCTCCCTCTTCTTTCCCTTTGCTTTGGTATATTTGAAATGACAAGAGAAGAAGCCAAGTGCACGTAACCCTTTAAGATTTCCTTCCTTTGGATAAGTTGATTCAACATTTCACCAGATCCCAAAGTTTTGAATTCTGTCTTGTTAAAAACTGTCTGTCCGGGCTCATGGCGATATCTCTGTGCTGTGGACAGCCTCACATGTGCTCCCAGTGAGCTCTTTGAATGAAACCTGTTTGAAAGTCTTGCTTCAGTCACATTAGTGGAAGCTGTGCCTGTTCTTTTTTCTTTTAGCAGCACTATGACCCTAAATATAGACACAGTCCAGTGGGGTCCCGCAGGATATCTTAGAAGCTCCTACCAAACAACGTTTCCTCAATCAGCACATGCTTCTAATATATCCGGGTGTTTATGATACTGAGGTATCAGGATGTCTCACTGCACACGCAAGTTGTGTGTTATTTGCTGCCGCCGCTCCTTGATGCTCTTAAAGGGACGGTGGTTCGAGATGGAGGTAGCCTCAGAGGCTACCTCAAAATGAAGCGAGAGGCTTATTTAACCGAGCGCAAATTAGGGACAGAGAAATTCTTTACCTGCAGCACGGACTAACGCAACACTCTCCATTAAAACATGATTGGAAAGCAGGACCTCCTGGTCATAAAGACCTCAGTAAGACCTTTGTGTTAATGGAGAGCTCATGGCCTCAATCTTCTCTTCTATATATTTCAATTTTTACTGGTTGGTTTCTACTTTTGCTGTTTAAAGTATAAAACTTTTTAAATATGACCTGCAGAATGAGCAAGTGATCTAAGGCCTGTCAGGGAGACAAGTGAAAAAAACATTTATACCTGGAAATAGTTTCATGTGTCTGTTTCAGTTATCTTTATTAAGTTCAAACGCTTGAATATTGTTGTTTTAATGAGCTATATCGCTCCAGTCTTTCCTTCATCTGAAATGTACAGTTAACTGCTGGGGTTTCTTTTTTCTGTTCTTATGATTGGACTAAAAACAAAAGGCTTTTTATGGCTCTTTGTATGAGCAGTTAGGTCATGACGTTTTTGGACAGCCAGACAATGTTGTTGTACACCACAACAGTGGATTTGAAATTGGATGTGAAGCGTAAAGTGGATATAACACAGTCGATCAAGACGTGATTGATTTTTTTTTAAGGGGTTTAACAAAAAAAAATGTATAAACTGTTAAGGATTTAGAATTTATTACTTATATGCAGTTTCACTTTTTTTAAAACCTTCAAAGTAACCGGACAGTTGACAGACAGCAGTTTCATGACCAGATGAGACATAATACCTCATTAGGCGTAACAGAGATCTTTGCTTCCTGTGTTTGACCTCCATAGCCCGGTCAGAAACACTCTTGGGGAGGTAGTTGTATCATTGTTAGAGTCTAGTCAAGAGAAACAAGATGCAATCCACTGGTTACACCCAAGAACAAGACGGATTTATGAGAAAACATCTGAAAGAGTCTGCACAGTTCTGGAGAAAAACAAGAGTTTACCAGAACTACGGGAAGAGAAAATTATGGAGAAGCAAATAAACAGCTCATGCATCATCATTTAAACATATATGTAGGAATGGGCATGTATGGCTGCCATAACGTGGAATCAAAGTACAATTTCTTTTTCTTCTATGAGTTATTTAGTTGAGCTTTCCACCCTCCTAACAGCTAAAATACCCCTGGGCTGAGAATCACTGATTTACCAGATCAAAAAACATGATTTCAGAGTAAAGTGAAGCTTTTGTTTTTCCTCCTGGCTTACTCATGGAGAACACGAGCAAGTGTCTGATTCAGGACAGTGTATTGGCCCAAAAAAGGTTTGTTATGAAGTGTGAAAAAACGTCTCCCAGAAGAGGTCGGCACCGTGCTTTCATCCAGGAGAAAACTCTGACTTATCTTAAACAGAAAAGAGGCTCACTCAGCGTGTGGCGAGGTGGTTTTTAGTTTCTTTTCTTTACCCCCATCGTCCCTTGTGTCCAGTGCCATCCTATAACAAGCATCCAAGAGGTAAAATCTGGGGCAGAGGATAGTCTTTTGCTGCTGCGGTGCTGAGTAACTAATATAATTGTTCAGCAAAGCGCAAAGGCACAGTTCAGCGCAGGCTTTCCACCTGCAGCCTCGGCTCAGACCATTCTTCATGTTTTTATGTAACAGTCTGAGAGTATCCGAAAGTTCTCTCGTTCAATAGCTCCATCTACAAAAACAGCAGCATTTTCTGCTCCTCTGCTCGGATACTCGTGTTATCCAACTCGTCTTGGCAGGGTTTATCCCAGCTACCTCATTAATGATTACTTTGTCTGTCTTTCAGGTTGTCTTGCTTAATGGATTACAATTTTCACTCTTAAATAATAAATGATGGCCTTTGATATTGTTTGTGGGTATGATACAACATTAGAACTGAAGTGTCTTTTGGTAATGTGTGGTAGGATCTGGCTTTTGTTTTGTTAACATCTACAGTCATCCCTTTAAACCAGCCCCTCTGCTATGACTCATAAGGCTTTCCCTGTTGAATTCATTGTCAATGGAAGACTCTTGTGAGTCTAGTTGAAAGGGAATTACTTAAGGAAGAAACCAAGCTTGATCACAGTCTGTCATCCTCGACTTACGATTCGCCCTCTGTGTGTTTTTGTTTTCTGTGTGGTTTTTTTTTTTTTTTTTTGGAAGATGGTATGAAACAGCCTCAGTGTTTGTTACGGCTTTCTGTTTTTACAAGTAATTATTTAATACCTTCCTTTTATGTTGCTGTCGAATTTCGCCATCGTAATAAAATGAAAAGATATCTGAAGAAGTAATCCATTAGCCCAGCAGCCATCATTTTAACGAATTGTTGTTTTCCAAACTTGATGTATCGTTTTTATTTTGTTAGCTGACACAAGACACATTTAGCTCCAGGCTTGAATAAATCCCATCTCAGAGCTTTAAAGTTTGCCTTCCATCTACAGTGCAGTGCCATTAACCTTCAGGTTTGCGTCTCTCAGGAAGTCGAGGGATCCTTGCCTTACCTGCTGGTGTTGTGTGGAGACCACGGCATGTCGGAGACCGGCAGCCACGGGGGCTCTTCGGAGCCGGAAGTCAGTACACCTTTGGTTCTCATAAGTCCAGCCTTCAAAAGAAAAGGTAACTGTTCTACTGTTTAATGCTTAATTTTAATGTTTCCTTATTTTCTGTCATATGCACTCGCTTTTTAGTTCCATCTTAATAGTACCAGTTTGGACGTCATTTTACTGCTTTATTTTGGTTCATATTGACATTCTGCTGCTGCACATCCATGATCCAAATCTCCTGTTCCACCACATCCCAGCAGTGTATTGTTGGATTTTAGATGTGGTGACTGTGGGATGAACTCATTGTCATAGTCAAAATGATGGACGCTTCACTTTCATAGTTTGAGATGATTTGAAGTTTGAGACATGGCACATTATCTGGTCAGCAACAATAGTCAGGGAGGCTGTGATGTTTAAATGATGCTCAATTGGCACAAAGGGACCCAAAGTGTGCCAAGAAAATATCCTCCATGCCATTACACCAGCAGCAGCATTGAAACAAGGCAGGAGGGATCCATGCTTTCATGTTGTTTGCTCTGGCGTCTGAATGTCGCAGCAGAGATTGAAGAAAAGCTGCCTGTTCAGAATCTCAATCTTCTGCTCCTCAGGTTTGATGGTCCTGTGCAAATTGTAGCCTCAGTTTCCTGTTCTTAGCTGACAGATGTGGTCTTCTACTGCTTCTGCATTTGGAAGGCAAGGCTTAACATGTTCAGAGATGCTCTTCTGCATACCTTGGTCGTAACTAGTGGGTGTTTGAGTTGCTGTTCTCTTCCTATCAGCTTGAAGCAGCCTGGCCATTCACCTCAGACCTCTGGCTTCAACTAAGCATTTTTACCCCGAGAACTGCTGCTCACTGGACATTTTCTCTTTGTATTTTTTGTACCTGCTCTATAAACCCTAGAGATAGCTGTGTAGCAAAAACCCTGCAGATCAGCAGTTCCTGACCAGTTTCAAACCAGCCCGTCTGGCACCAACACAACGCTACATTCAGAGTTACTTAAAACACCTGTGACTGTGTGTGGATGTTCATATGAAATATGGCTCAGGACATGTTCAAGTAATCCACGTGAGCCAAATACTTCAGACTGTATTAAATGCTCAGTTTACATGTTTTTTTAGTTCTGTAAAACACCTTGTAGTGGGTATATTCTGGCCACGGAAGCTCAGGCCTTCTCTTTACAAATCAGCCAATCATAAGAAAGTTGGCTTAAAGGGAGGGTAACAGGCGCTTGAATGACTTATTCCACACCATTTATGCATTCTGATTACTCAGTACTTCATATCTTTGACTGCAGAGAATTGGAATAAGAATCCAAATGAGCTGTGAACAACCCAAACATGTTCATGAAATTAACAACAGGCTCTCCAGAGTGAGCTGGTTTAAAAGTTCAACAGTAGCAGCAGCCAGGAATCTGAGGTTTTGACATTAGCAGGGTAATGCACAGAGTAAATGATGTCAATTTTGGGAAGTTGCAGGATGTTAGGAGAAAATTAAATGTGATCAAATCTGCTCGTGTCCAAGAATGGAAAATATGGATCTGGAAATGATCAGAACAGGTCACGTTTAAAGGATGCAAGTGGCAGCAGACTTGCCATTAACTTGAAGAGCTTGTGTGATTTTTTTTTGTAATGTGTCTGCCAGCTGCTACAGCCTTTCTTGAGTTCTCACACATAACGGTTCATTAGTGTGAGGAACAGTGTCATTGCACACAGAGGCTTATGAGCAGAGCTTTATTTTGCAGCGATGAATGTGTTTAAGTGTGAAAGTACGGTCGTGATAATTGCTTCTTTCTCAGCCAAGTCTATTTTTGAAACTGTCTTGGCACTTACTTTTTTTAATTTTATTTTTTTATATGTGAACCATTCACCTTAATTAATCATTAACAGTTAAGTGGAGTTGCTACAGCGTGTGTGGTTTTGTTTGTACTTTATGCCTCCCGCTGGGCTCACAGTTTGACTGACTCTTTTCTTAACCACCAGAGGTTTTTGGTTTAAATATTAAACATGCAACAACCACAGAAAGTTGATGAAGTACGTTTCAAATTATGTGATTTCTTCAATGAAATAAACTCTTCTTTTGAATGAATTCATTCATTCAAGTTCATTCATAAACCGGTGATCTCTATGCCAAACACGGAGTGGAAAATATTGTACCTTAAAGTTTTTCTAACGAACATAAAACAAAATCCAAACAGGTCTGAAACATTGAATATGTAAGTTTAAATGAGCACGATCAAAAAATATCACGAGGTCTTTTGCCGCCAGTGTTTGTAGAGTGTTTGTGTCCTATTGAGACAATTCGATTAACGGTAGTTAAAATAAGCAGAAGCCTTCAGGGCCGAACAATGAAGGCAGTGTGGAAGTGGTGTGATGCCACCCATCAGAAGTTTGGATTTCAGTTTTGGTGAGTGACATTTTAGTATTTTATTCAAGTAGCCGTTTACCTGGAACCTATCAGCAGATACGTGTGTCTGTGTGTTTCACCCGTATAGTTCATGGATGCCCCTCACTAACCAATAATGTTAGCTTTAGTTGATAACTGAGCAGTCCTTCTCTGGATGGATGGATTTCTAGCAATCATGAAATATCCCTATAGTTCCTTGATGTAGGGACATTTTTATGTTATTATCTATTTATTTGAATCACTGAACTACATTGAGGACACTGACGTCTATTTAAAGTTCTGTACCTTGATTTTTTTCTTTCTGTAGGCACAGACTTGTTACTCGTTACCACTTTAGATGTAAATATATTGATGCAAGTGTGTTCTATTTTAATGCATCAGTTAGTGCAATCAGTGGCCTTCATTAGCAGAACTTTATTTTGAACTTTGTGAGAATGATAGGTCATTAGCAGAGAGCTCATCTGTCTGTTGTTTTCATTAGAACGTGCTGCGGACGATCAGACTTCAGCACCACCTCACTACCTGAGCTTCACTTTTTAATCTGAATGCATCATTGAGAAAATAAAACCCTCTTACTGCAGATTGACAACACATTTAATTGATGTTACTTGGGGCAAAGCTGCGTTAATAAGACACTGTTGGTATCAGAAATCTTCTGGTTATTGTTTAGCTCTGTAATCGTCCTCCTCGGTTTTTGCTTAGAAAATGTATTTTGATAATTTGTATTTATCTTGGATTTTGACACAGAAAGAATGTTTTATTAAATTCTCCTGACAGTGGAAAGTTTGTGTTTGCTCAAATGAAATCTAGGTGGATTTGTGACTTTATAGGAAACTGGTCTGACAACTTTAAAAAAAAAAAGTGTGCTGTGGAAACTTGGAGTCTGCATTGCAGATGGAGTGCATTATGAGAGGAGTTTCAGCAAAGGAGCCATCTTTTATCCAAGGAAATTTGATAGATCAGGAAGACACTTTGAGTTTTTTGTTGTTGTTGTAATAACACATAATTAATAATGTATTAATTCAGCAGATTATTGTCATACATTTTGGTCCATAGGTTTGTGGACAATGAGACCTCTTTTGTAATGTTGTAGCACCATGTACCATCATAGTGGATTTTAAAAACAATCAAGTTGTGATTGATGGTCGGCCTCCATCTTTAATTCAAGGAGTTTAACAACAGTTTTAAATGAAATTTGTAGCAATTACAAACTTTTCATTCAACGTCCCCATTTTCAGATGCTCAAATGTGATTGGACAAACTAGCATCCTTTTAAATATAGGGACTGTATTTAATACTTTAATGGAAATCAATGACTCTTTGTCTCTGGAACCTATAAACCAAATGCTGTGTTTCCTCCCTTGAGATGCTCTGGTAGGCTTTTACTACAGCTGCTTTTTTGTCGATCTGCGCCTTCAGTTTTGTTTCCTTTGGCCTCCTTCGCGCTCTGTAGGCCTCCTATTGAGAGCCTCAGGCAACAACTACCAAATCCAAGTTCAACACTTGGAATTAACTCCAGGTCTTTTCTCTGCTTAATCTGGGATGAAATAACGAGTGAACAGGCCTCTCCTGGCAATTAATTTGATGTCTTTTCCAATTACTTTAAAATGAAAAGGGCATCCTTTGTATACAAATGGCCGTAATTCAAGAAGCTGACTGAAATCAACACTTGTTTCTAAAAGAGGTCAAATGAAATAGAATCCAATGGGGAAATTACCATTGACTCTCTTGTTTTGTGACTTCAATAATTATTTTACTAATGATGTTAAGGTCTCAGTCACTAGTTTCAAATTTTAATGAATACAATATGATGTTCATCTTGTAAATTATGGTCCCATTAGGCTGCAGCCACACAGGGAGCAATTGGATTTTCGCCCATCGCTGTGAAGCCGGCATTACAGACTCTGGCTGCCTAAACCTTTAATATATTTACTACCAGGTTATATATCAGTCAGCAATACCCTGTGCTCTTATTGGTAGTTGCTTCAATCACTCCCCTCAAAGTAGACTCAGATTTATCTTGGGATCCACCCACTTGGTGTCGGGTTTTTTAACCTCATAGTCACTGAGTGTTGACTTTTTACCTCAGCACTGTGAATTGCTTCCAGCACGCACGCAGCTTTAGAGTCATAAAGGGGCACAAAGCAGGATATTGTTTATTGCAGACCTACTTTGTGTCTGACCCTGTGAAAGTGCAGTGTCCATCATTTTCTTATTCAGACTTAATCCACCTCTTGCTCCTCACATCCTGTTTCAAAAAGCTAGGATGGTGTTATAGCGTTCTTCATCTTTTATATACATCCTTTGAGCTGGATTTTAAAAAATAAATACGCAACCTTTGTGGTCATAAATGAAAAAACATGGTCGACACACATTTGTTTTGGTTTGATGTGCTAGTGCTCAAACTGTGACCTCCAGAAGTTCTGAATGATCCCTCACTGTACCATTTCAAAAATGTATGACTGGTTATGGCTGTATTTTACATTAGCAAGGCAGATATTGGATTGCACATTGAATTTCCACCAGCTGCAGTTTTCTCAATTATGAATCAGCGTTCAGCCGCTGTAACCTTTAACTGCGTTATGACACATCTATTCTGTGGGAACGTTCTGTGTAAGTCAGAAATTACAGTGCAAACCAAGCAGGTACTGTTCTAAAGAGGTTTCATTGGACGTAACTGTATAGGCTTTTACTTACTGCTTGTCAGAGAACAAAAAGAAACATTGTAAAATTCTAATGTGTGGTTTTAAGACACAGTTAATGTGGGATTAACATTTGATAAGATGAATTAATTTTTTCCAGCGGGTTTGAAAAGTACTCGCCTTTGAGAAGAAGACTATTATTTTTTTGGACATTTTTTTTGGGACATTTATCGCTAACTAGCAGATTTAAACAAGGCCGATATCCTTGATAGCTTTGTGGCATTATCCCAAATAGCTATGAGCTTAATACAGCAAAGCCCGTGTCTTGTTGCAAATCCATCTCCTTTTAATATGAAATGGATAATTCCCAGGCTTATTTCATTGTGTCCAATTACAAAATTAGATCATAGCTGTGGGGTTTGTCTCATGCTTCAGTATGTGGCTCTCCCATTTCCCCACACATGTGATTTTCTTTGTTCATTTTTGAATATATCACACACCAGTTTAGTTCATCATTGTAACCTGAAAACTTCACTCCAATGACAATCTGGGAAAATACTCCCACTCTCTGTTTGTATACTTGAAAGCTCAGGATAGGAAGCCAAGTATCAACTTAAGTGTCTGACAAGCTTCAAGAAATGACAACCACAAATCATATAATAATGATATTTTTTCTTTCAATTTGTTCATTTTCTGGTTTCTGATTTAGGCTTCTGTTTATAGTGATCCACAAACAGTCAAAGTAAAAGTTGTCCGTTTTGACACATTTGGGCTTTTACTTTGAAGACAAACCTTCTTCCGTTTGTGTTATCCACTTACCTCCTAGTTGGCAAGTATTTGCAGACACAAATCTAAAACCTCAGCTGTTACCACCGGCTAGTAACCAAAGTTATTGTTTTGATTGGTACAATTTTGGTGCATGTAATTGCCAGCTTGACCTCTTTCAATCAGAAATTAATAGCAGACAGTTATACCACAATTTTATTGCATTCTTTACGCCCTAAGTCCCTTTAAAAAAAAGCAGCTGACTGCTAGTGGTTGCAGACTGGTCCCCATCTTCAAATCATTTGGACGCGAGATCGCACAACTAATGTTTCCCTTGGACGGCTGTAGCATAGCCAGATAGATTGTAGATTCAGGTTGATAGATGGAGCAAAAAAATCACTGGGTAACAAATATTTTCAAAACAAAATCAAAATTGTTTGGGCCAAAAACATGCCAGTTATTATTTCACCATCAGCCATTGCACCAGCTGTGTCTTTTTTACTCTTTGCCCTTTTGCCCTGTCTTCTCAGCGGGAATGGAGAAACCAGGAGTGGTGGAGCAGGTTGACCTAACCCCAACCCTGGCCTTAGGCCTTGGCCTGCCCATATCTCAGAACAGCGTTGGCCGCGTGATCCAGAGTGTCTTGGAGGAAACCTCACTGCGAGACCAGCTGCGCTTCCTGCATCTCAATGGCCACCAGCTCAGCTGCTTGCTCAAAGACAGCATATCCGACTATGAGAAAGGTTGGTTGCAGATTCACTGTGTTCCTCCTCTGGACTCGTTAAAAGCCAAGACCTTGTTTGACAGGTACTCTCATCATTATGCTGTATTGTTTCCTGGCTGGTGATGGTGTCAGTACCTACTTTTTTTTTTCATTGCACACAGCAGCGTAAGTATGCCAAATAGTTTAAGGCATAGTTATTCCAAAATTGAGATATGGAAATTTTTCTTCACCTCATGTCAGTTAGAACTCTGTTGAAGGTGGAACATCCATGAATTCCCATCATTCCCTATTCCTCAGCCTTCTCCTAAACTATTAAAGTTAAGGGAGGCATACTTTAAATAAAAAAAAAAAAGTCCAGCTAATGTCGTAATTCCACAAAGTGAAAGTCATTTATAATGTCGCCTGCTACTTGCATCGAACCTATTCATTGCTTAAAGCTGCACGTTTAAATATTCCGATGTTAACAGTGAGTAAGGATAATGTGAAAAGGGATGTTTCTAGTGACGGACTAATGGAAACCTATACTGTCTTTATACAGAATCACAGATTAAGAACTGAGCTAAAACAAGAGTAAACACCAACATGAGTCTGCTAATTCTATTGCAAGTAGTAAAATAAGCTGTTGAGCTAACATATGTGAACTGATGCTAACACTGTCATTATTGCATTTAAATTACAGTTTAATTTGCAGTCCGCTCAGTTTTGTGCGTATAACAGTTGTGACAGATGGTACAGACTTAAGATGGTTCAAAAGTGATTTACTTTGAGTCTGTCTCTGTGTGTTTTGGCATCAAAGCGTTTTCTTAGATGGTTTAACCTGAAGCAGTTTGATTAAAGTGAAGGCAGCATCGCATCATCTAACAAGCTCAAAAGATTCTACTTAATTAAGGCTATAATCCTGAGCAAAAATGCAGACTTGATAATTTATATATTTCAACATGTGTCAGATGAAACTGAACCAATTCAAACAGGCTGTTTTATTAGGCACTAATGGGCCTTAATGGTGTTTAGCAGATGTTAAAAAAATATTCTTCTTACAGTTAGAAAATCCTCTAAATGTCTGTGATTACAGTGAGTTTTAAGTTCCTGATTGTCAAAGATAAACCCAGCTCTACTTTGCAGACATACCATATGGCACTAAAAGCTTTACAATGATATAAGAGTTTGAGACAAAAAAAGCACTAACTTTTGCCAAACATTAGATACTAGTCAGTTTGTTGTCGTGGGAGCGTTTCCAACTCCCACAACTTAAAGTCTATGCTCTGATCTTCAACATGCATTGTGCATGCATTTGGATCTCTGCAAATGCATGCACATATTCACACATGGCTTTGCTCCCTACTTGCATCTCGGGGTCACGCAGTTTGTCTGAGTTATCCATCTTTGAGTCTGTTCCCCACCCTTCTTGTCTGTCTCCCACTCTTTCTCTTGCCGTCTTTCACTTTCAGAAGCATTCGATACACCAATAGCAGCAATTACCGTCAGTCAGAAGTAATTTATCTTATCTTTTTAAAGTATCCCAAAGAGGCAGAGATAGAACTACATAAATAATTTGACACATAGCATTTTCTTATTTAGAAGTTGTTTTCCCTAAATGTTTTTGCTGACTAAGTTGTATTCTAAGCATGCTATCCTAGAGAAAATGTTGTGAGCAAATGGGGGTCGAGAAAAGCATAACACATTTGAGTTTCAGATGATGTCTTTACTTTTTTCATTTTGGGAGTTGACTGGATGGAAGTTAATAGTCCATCATACTATTAACTTCCATGAAGCTGAGTAACTAATGGTACAAATATAGCAGGTTTATAAAATTTGGGCAATAGCACAATGCTTCTGCTTTATTCAAAATGGTTCACAAAAGTACTGGATTAACTTATTTTAAAACGCACTGTGATGTGTGAATGTTCACTTACCGTATTTTCAGCACTATAAGGCGCACTTAAAATCCTTTAATTTTCTCAAAAATCGACAGTGCATCTTATGTATGAATTCTGGTTGTGCTTACTGACCTCAAACCGATTTTATGTGCTACACGGCGCTCAAAACTCTGTCAAAAAATGTTTTAGTACGACTTTGCTAAGCTACAAAGCTAAGCTAATAAAGCTAAGCATTACGGCTACCGTAGTCAGGAGCCTTGCAGAGGAATCTGGGTCCAAAACTCCGTCTGCTTCATGTCCCAAAGTCAAATGAACACTGCAGCATCACTGAGAGTTAAAAACTGTCTAAATTCTTTCATCTTTAATAAAATGATCAGCGTTGCTGCTTTACCAGGTGTAACAATTAAGTTTAACATCCAGGCATCCATGAAAACAGAATTTATTAAATTTAATGGAGTTAGAAGTTAGCAGGAAGTTAGCTCGCTAGCTTCCACCTAAATATGATATAGCATGTTCTGACTGAGAGATTTCTGAAACAAATGAAAACGTACAGCTCTGTTATCACTTCCAACATAAATGAAGACAAAAAACTAAACGGCAGTGATGTTTGTAGGGTTCCTGAAGTTGCACTAGCTGGGATATAATAATGTGCTACGTGATCGCTAGCGACACAGCTATGCTAGCATAATATAAACACAGTGAAGCTGGAGGATGAACGCTAACTTTTTTTCTACTCGATAAAAGTTACCATGAGGGTTCCTGATGGTTAGGGACAAAAATCCATCCACAATTCCAAGGTTAGTCATTAATATGCTGCAACAGCATGGGAATAGAGCAGCTGCGAGAGAATTCCACATTAATGAATCAAAGGTACAGAAGTGGAGGAAGTAAGAAGAATGAGTTGAGTAAAGTTTGATTTATCTGACTGTTTTGTTCCGCTTAATGCGCCTTATGGTCCGACAGATACGGTACTTACTGTATGGACCTGACTGTTTAAGGACAACACTGGGGCTGGGCCATATTATACCGTTCACTGTAATACCGGTATAATGTTAGGCAACGATAGGAAAATGAAATATCGCGATAGAATAAGTAAAACGCGCATGCGCAGTGCCTTTGTTTTCATACACACATGGCTGATTGTTGAGCGAAACAGATGAACCAGAATTGGTTTGTAAAAATGGTGCAACTTCAGTGATGTGGAACTGGTTTGGTGTTTGTCTGTCAGATACATGACAAAGCA